ATGGAAAACACGGTGGAGAAAACCGTATAGACTATGTTACAGATTTATTGTGTCATATTTTACCTCATCTTGACAAGTTTATCTGTGAGCATTTTGTTACCATATATGAATACCTGGTACCAAGTGACACACAGGCCCAAGATGGCGCGGGTAACCCCCAATTTTCCCGCCAAGGCGTCCCAAACAAATCTACTCAAACAGGAGAAGGGAGGATTGAAGATAATCAGAATGAAAACAATTGCAAGACCTGTGGTACAATCACAACTACTTTGGAATCTGTTCAAAACCAACTCCAGGTTTTGAATGAAACCGTCAATGGCATCATCTCGTCGACAAAAGGCTCTAAATCAGCTCATCAGACGACAACAGATGAAGCTCAAATCGATTCCGACGCAAGCACGGAGAAAGATCAGCATTGTAATGAACCTAATAGCCTTACAATAGATGATCAATTACGAGACTACAAAGCAAAACATCAGCTCCTGAGAGCATCAATGGTCACGCAGAATGCCCATTCAACCGATGTTTTGATTGTTGGTGATTCCATGGTAAAGGACATCAACCCTTCGAGGCTATCAAGAAGACCCGTTAAGTGCAAAACATTCAGAGGCGCTCGTATTGGAGATGTTTGTGACATTGTTTGTGAGCAAGCTATTCAGCAAAATGCTAAAGAAGTAATCCTTCATCTAGGTTCTAACGATGTCACTTCACACGAAGCAGATGAAATTGTTGCAAAACTTGAGTCCCTGGCAGAACAAATTGTCAAACTGACACCAGCCAAGAAAATAAGTGTCTCGACAATAATCCATCGTCGCGGAGAATCAGCAAGCGATTTCGAGAAAGTGCACAGTGTAAATGAAATGTTGAAACTTCTAGCCAATCGCCGCAGCTGGGGAGTCGTGGACAATGAAAACATCACTCCTGACACACATCTCGCCGCTGATGGCGTACACTTAAACGGCTACGGAGTACGTGTATTGGCACAGAATATCATCGCATATCTTCGAGGATCCCGCCCTGCGTTTCATCGTGACCAGTTTCCTTCAGCTACTGTTTATGTTTCTGATCCGGCTAGTTTGGATAACGAATATCCTTGGCTCCAATCTCAATATCCTGATGCTCCGTCTTTTCAGATGACAAGCAAAGCGAAATTCCGCAAGAAAGCGTCCGACCGTGTTTTCCCACGAGACTGGCTAGATTGTCTACAAACAGCCCGGAGACTCCTCAACAGTCACATAGATTAGACAATAGTCATGAAGACATTGATGACTTCAATCGATCAAGTGATTCAGTTCGAAATAGTGACAATGCAGACAGTAATAGCAATCAAGAAGCCTATCTTGAACTTGCTGATGATGGAAGTATACCAGTTATTTCAAAACGAGGATTACGTATGTGTCATTTGAATGTTAATTCCTTACCAAATAAACTTGAAGACCTAAGGTATTTGTTAAGAAATTCTCCCTTCGACATCATTGGCCTTACTGAGACTCATTGTGATAACACGGTTAGTGACAACGAACTGCATATTGATGGTTATGATTTACTAAGGAAAGATAGAAGTAGGCATGGTGGGGGCGTGATGATTTATTTGAAGAACACCCTCCACTTTCAACATGTGAAAGATCTTGGGTTAAACTTAGAAACTATTTGGATAAAAACCAAGGTACGGAACGTGAAATCATTTTTAATTTGTGTTATGTACCGTCCGCCGAACTCTTCAGTTGATTATTTTGATTTAATGTCTGCTATGATGAGTAATGCTCTAGATTTTGATTGTGAACTGATTATATTGGGGGACCTCAACTGTGACCTACTTTCTGACAATGTCGATTCATCGACACGATCTCTTATGACTGTAATGCAGGGATCACTTTTGTCACAGTTGATTGAGATTCCTACTCGTGTGACCCAGCATTCTAATACACTTATTGACCATATTTATACAACATGTCCAGACGATCACAGTATTTCAGGTGTCATAAAAACTCACATTAGTGATCATTTTTTGATATTCACATGTTTACATTCTAGAAGTGCTGGGAATGTTCATAACGATATCAAATTCAGAAACTTAAAAGAATTTAAGCAGGAAAATTTTGTCAACGATCTCTTTAACTTAATGTTAAGAGAAAATTTAGCTTGTGTTAGCAACGTTGACACAGCTTGGAAATTGTGGTACAATCAAGTAATGGCAGTTATTAATAAACATATGCCATATAAACGCAAAAGAATGAGGAAAAAACCCTCTCCTTGGATCACAGGTGAAATTATTACATTGATAAATAAAAGAAAGTATCTCCATAACAAGGCTTTAAAGTTTAACTCCTCAGGATTATGGAAAGAATATCGTAGAATACGTAACATGGTAACAAGTTTAACTAAAAAATCTAAACAAAAGTATATACAGGGTTTATTGCAAGATAAGTCTGGTGACCCCGGTGCATTATGGTCTATTCTAAAGCAACTGTCCTCTAGCACTGGTCAGCTTTCCATAAAATTGAATATTAATGATGTTGAAATTTATCAGCCTGAAATTGTTGCCGAAAAACTGAACGACTACTTTATTGATAGTGTTTCAGAACTCCTGGGAAAAACAGATTGGAGAGCTAGTGAAACCACAAGTCCAGATGTAATTGTCAGTTGTCCATTGCCACAGGAGAATTGTGAGGACTTTGATCATGTTGATCGTCAAATTTTTGATATTCCTTCAATCACCTACGATTTTGTTGTAAAAGAAATTCATAGCCATTCTGTAAAAAAAGCGACAGGGCCTGATGACATCTCTGTTAAAATGTTGAAAATGATGAAATATGCCACAAATGTAATAGATGGTCTTATTTATATTTTCAACCTTTCTTTGTCAAAAGGGCATTTTCCATAAGCATGGTGCTTGGCCAAAATTCGCCCTATTTTTAAGGGCGGTGATCGATTATGTATAGAAAATTATCGACCAATATCCTTATTGTCAATTGTTTCAAAAATTTTGGAGAAATGGGTACAAAAGCATTTACAGACATACTTATTAAATAGCGATTTCTTCAGTGAAAGTCAATTTGGCTTTAGACCAAAGCATTCATGTGAAAGTGCTCTATTGTGTATGGTTGATGACTGGGCAACTGAAGTTGATAGGAGTAAATTTTGTGGGGTAGCGTTTATTGATATGCGTAAAGCCTTTGATTCTGTTAACTACGATGTATTGCTGAACAAACTTTCTATGATAGGATGCTCTGAGAATGCATTGGCATGGTTTAAATCCTACTTTTGCTTTAGGGATCAATTGACAGAAATAGGGGGTAAATTATCCAATACAAGGTCAACTATCTCTGGGGTACCACAAGGCTCTGTTTTAGGGCCCCTGTTGTTTACAATATATATTAACGATTTGGTTTCCAGTATAAAGTCAGGAAAAGTTGTCATGTTTGCTGACGATGCAACTCTGTATGTTAGTGGTAGTAATCTTGAATCGGTTGAAAGTCAACTAAATTCTGCAATGAATGAAGTCTACAAGTGGACATCTAAAAATAGATTGGTACTAAATGATAAAAAAACGAAAGTGATGCTTCTTGGTTCTCGACAACGATTGAATACCTTGCAGGATAAAAAAATATCTGTTATAATTAATGGTACCTTACTAGAATGTGTATCTGAATATAAGTGTCTGGGGGTGTCGATTGATGATACTCTGACATTCAAATCTCATGTTACTTCTATTGCAAAAGTCATGAAACAAAAACTTGGCCTAATTAGAAGAAACAAGTATATATTTAATGTTGATCAACTCAAAAGATTATATTGGGGATTTGTTCTCCCCCATGCATTATATTGTTCAACCGTCTGGTCATCTTCATCCGAATCTAACTACAAAATATTAAACACGCTACACAAGCGCGCAGCATATATTGTAAGTGGATATACTTGGGAAACCTCATCGGAAACAGTTTTTCGAATACTAGCCTGGCCTACTCTAAAAGAACTGTTTAACAAGTCAATATCATGCATGGTGTATAAATGTGTAAGTGGGGTAGCACCATCCCAGTTAAGTAGTAAATTTGTTCTAAATGACAATGTCTCTACACGTGTAACACGAAGCACCAACAGGCTGTTATTACGTATCCCTCAATGCAAAACTCAATTTTATCGGAGGACATTTGTACCAGTTAGTGTAAATGAATGGAACTGTTTGTCCGATGAATGCCGATCTGCCCAGTCCTTAGCCATTTTCAAAAAATGTATCAAACCTTGCAATAAATAGTTTTTTTTTAATGAAGGTGGAGGAGGGGGTTGCAGTGAGGTCAAATTCATGTTATGCTTGATTTTAATGTAATTTTTAGTTTGTAAACAGGTGGTAAACAGGTGTGTGTGTGTTAGCTTTCGTTACTCCTGTCATTTATATATATATAATATTGTTCGTTGTCATTTTTATGTTGTTTTTTAAACAGAGCCCTGTTGTAAACCAGCCTATTTTAATGTTTTTAACAATGTTTTGTAATGATTTTTAGCTGAACATGTTACTCTGTATAAAGATGCGAAATAAATAAATAAATAAATAAAAATTATTCAACACCATCACCTATTTCAACATATCAATGGACAGCTACATGTTTAATTCTGCCATTGACATCACTATTTATACTGAATTGGTGACCATCACAGAACTGTCTAGCAAGAATAACCCAAACTTTGGAGACACTGTTTTCCTAAGCTACCAAGTAGAGTCTAGAGGTTACATTGTTCTATGGTTTACATACTTTACAGAAAATGTCTTTTTGGCATGACATTAATTTCAGTGTAGAAAATGGATACTTCGTCTGCACACTTCCACAGTGGATATCAGTGCTGTAGAAGAAGCCATTCATTGTACATTATCAATATAGTGTAGGGGAGCATGCAGACCTACAAAGCACACAGGTGTACATGTACATGTCACAATCATGGCACAATTTCTACATGAAATTTAATGTATACTTTTTAAAATACCATATACCAGCAAAAATGCCTGCATGTTATCAAATTATGTGCATGGCAAATCTTAAAGAGCTTACCAATTTGAATACCGGTTTTCATAAATAAATTCTGTTATACTTTTATCATTACCTTAGATATACAACATTAAAAGGGTAAATCTTCTTATAATGATTCAGTTATATCCCTATAAATCCAACTAAGTTTCTACATGCTTGGCTACTGTGATATGACTACTACGTATGGAATAATTCCTCCATACCATGAGCTGCAGTGATCCGACAATGATTGGTATAAAACAAGCCAGTATGAACATGGTTCCCTTGAGTTGAGTTGTATCATGGAGTGAGAGTTTCTCATCCTGTAGTTCTTTGTAACCATACTTATTGAGAATGCTCACCACCATCATAGGGGCCAGAGAGGAAGCTGGTTTGGTGAACAGGGCATTGTAGCCAAACACACTGGAAGACAATGGACTCCTGGTTACATGAAAATGAGCAAAGCAATCAAGATATTACATCAATTCAAAATGCATATGTTGATTCAGAATGTTTTACTCTTTAGATGCAATATTTTCAATTTTCAACTGTTAGTGGTCTACTTTCTGTTTTTTTTTTTTTTTTTTTTTTATTGAAATATATTTATTCAGGATAACAAGAATCAGATATACATTGTAGATACAAAATCTGTTTTACATCATGGTCCTGAAAATGATGAACTATTAAAAAAATGGTGTGGATACACAACTTCACTGAAAGAAAGCAAGACTATTAATCATACACAATCAATGAAGGTAAACATTGATTGATTTAAGAGAGCTACAGTTTTCAATTTAAACTATATCGTGATTTATAATGTCTCAATGATAAAATATCTTGTACACAATGCACAACTTTTTAGCAGATTTAGAACGAAACACGATTCTTAAAGCTTGATTGATTTTGTAAGCCCCTCCCCCTATTTTAAAATTCACTTCTTAATACTTTTATCTCATTGATATTCAACGCCACATTTTTCACTTTCTATTCTTCTTTTTCTTAATAAATCTAGTATTTCATGGTACTTACGCTCTCTGGCTTTTGAGTTGATCCTCATCAATGATATCCGAGAGACACAGATTGAAGAAAGAGAATATAGCCTCCGGAAGGCTCCTGTCATAGTGTAAATAGAGAGAGAGACATAGTGTTGTGATTCTAAGTTTGAACGTGGAACTATATCTGTTCATTATCCTAACCCCAACACTACATCTACCCCAGGGAAAAAAATACTTTAACAATTTCGGGGGGCTACTTTCAAGCTTGTTTGCATGAAAATCAGTTTAGTTCAGTTCAGTTCAGTTCAGTAAAATAACACTCCTTGTTTTGTTTTGCATTGAACTCTATGTAATTTTGGGGGGCTTTTTAATAACTTTCAGGGGTTCTTTTTGGCATTCCGGGGCTGTATTTTTTCCCTGATCTACACACAAACCCCATCTTAACCCCACCTCTAGCCCTATATCCTTGACAAAACAAAGCTTATAGCAAATTGTGTCACCAGAGCATGTGTCAAATCACATGTTGCAGGATTCTTGACAGTGTATAACACCATTGGTGGTAATACCAAACATCAGGGACTTCATGAAGATATTACCATGGGTATCCAACATAGGAATACTCCCCAGGGAGCGAAGCATGTGCACTGTCATGTGCGGATCTGCAATTGAATCTGATCGATGACTGGGGTAATAATAATTACAATGTAAAGTGCTAAGAAAGGTGGTATTAAAGGGAATGTGTCATGACGAGACTATGTGTCTTTCCTGTGGCCCTACTCGATATAATACGACTACTGACGACGCGACCGCAGCATTCACATGCGTGTAACATAATTATGCGAAACCGAAGCATGAGGAGAAACGCTAGAGCGCGCTGACCTAGTTGATCAAGTCCATTCGTTTACGTGCAGTTGTCCAACAGAAGACGTACATGTAGATGGGTTAACCAGTATTTGCCATGATAAACTCCCTTTATGCTCTAGATACAAATGTGACTATTATTATTATTCTCATTTAATGGGAACAGCTGGACATGGGTATTATAAGCATCTAAACAAGCCACCCTTGGGATGCTGCAGGACATATTTCGCTAAATTTACAGCAAAGGTCAGCAAACTCCTTATTGGTAGCATTCTACAAATTGTAGTGAAGATTCAAAGCCGTTCATAATTATCAAATACAGTTGGAGAGAAAGAAGTACAGTTCTGTAGTTACTGAGGCTGAGAGTAGATATATGCCCAACTCCAAAAAAAAGTTCACATCCCACTGAAATACTAATAGCTACTTGCGCCCTCTAAATAGCAAAAAATGCCTAATTGGTGACCATTGGTTCCCCCATGATCCCCTTTTTGTTATGTTACTTATTTGATGAGATAACCACCTGTCAGTGACCATGCAGCGAGGTATATTCCCACCTGGCCAAACTAGTGCAGTGGGGCTTTAAATGCTTAATGACAATATTTGTTATTTCAATTTTTACATTTAATAATAATAATAATAATCTTTTAAAGTCCACTCCAAATTTTATTAAGTTAAACCGAAAATGGAAATTCTTTTTGCCCAATGGATCGTGAGCCCGGCAGACGGCAGCCACCGAGCAGCGCCAGATCGACGTTGCTCTATCCCTTATTGTTGAACGGCAAACAAGGTAGCAGCAACTCCCGTCTTTAAACGTCTTTTGGTATGACGCGGCCGCGGCCAAGGTTCGAACCCACGACCTCCCGGTTGTGAGGCGGACGCTCTACTGACTGAGCCAATACACCAGTAATTTTTTCTTTTTCTTTTCTTTAAAAAAAAAAAAAAATTATCATATTACCTGTCCATAACGAAGAAGAGAACCATGATATGGGTATGCTGGGCTCCAATCAGGAACATGAGGAATGCTGAACAGATTTTGAAGTAAAAGGACCAGATTATGATCCGGTAGGAACCATACCGACTGACGAAGATGCTCAGGAATAGCACCAGCAACTGAAGAGACAAAAGGCAATTTTTTTTCTTCATATTTACTCATTTTTGGTGGCCTATTTTAGTCTCAATACATTCAACAAACTTAACGTTCATTATAATTGTGTGTAGATGCACATGATGTGGCAGGTTACTATACATGTACCTATATAATCAGGTGTCGAAACACTTCACGTTAATGTATACAGTAAACTACACTGAACGTCTTGGACTTTCTTCAAAATTTGAAGTCAAATAATGTAGAAATTATTTTTTTGTAACATCCATAACACTGTATTTACACGAAATGAATAACAACATTACGGTAATTGAACACCCCCCCCCCCCCCCTTCCCACCATATTGAAAGATTTCTCACATCTTTTAAACTGTGTTATGCTCATGCTGGAATTCCGGTCCCACCATGGTTAATTACCAATCCCTGGAAATAAGGTTGGATAATGATCACCCTGTAACAGCGTTGTAATTGTCTTGCTTTATCAGTTAAACCCCTACTCTGCCACAAAGAACATTTTTCGTTAAGAACTTTCAGTAATGTACATTTATGGTAAATAATTCTTTGATTCATTATCAAAATTGACTTTAAAACAATTTCCATAAAAGACTTCCACAGTGCACATGGATGAACCTGTTTTGTTTCAGGAAGAAATAACTCGCTATTTTTAAGCCAAACTTTTAGTACAACAGCTACATTCTTGGGCTGAATTTGATGCTCACAGCAATGCATAGAGGGATAAAGATTATCAGGATGATTTCATAGTTAGGTACATGTAGTTGTCCTAGAGGGCAATTTATCATGGTGGATAGGGGGTAGTCCAAAGGGGTTAGTTGTGCAAGGGTAATTGCCCTTACCTGAGGAAAGATAAAGGTTGTACCAAACATAGCTTTCCTGAAGAACTGAGAGAGGTCAGCCTCTGGAATGAGTTGGGTAACAAAGATGGCAAGAAAATTGGCTCCAAAATCCATGTGAAATATCTGGCAGAAGTTGATGAATACAAATATCAAGAAGTTCCTATTGCAGATGATCTGTTTAGCTTGTTTGAATGATAGGGAAAGAGAGCCATCTTGCTTGGAGTGACCCAACGACTTATTCTCCATACTCAGTTTTCCTGAACCCTCTAAAGCAGTTGGCTGAAGTTCAAACCGTGTCCGCACGTTGCGCCCTGTGTAGTACATTGCAGCCCAACTAAGAAAGGCTACAAACACACACCAAAGCTGGAAGGCATGGAAGTTGTTCAAGTCGTTGGACACAAATTGGCTCAAGAGAACTGACGTTGATCCAACAATGGAAGCAACTTGGCTATATCTTGTCAGTCTTACACGGTCCTCATGGCGAGAGGATATCTCAGCATACAGAGCACAGTGAGATAAAAGCACAAAGGTGAATAACGCATCATAACAGCAAAGAGAAACTATGAGATGGACACCAATCATCCATTCACTGGCTTCATAGGTCTTCCAAGGAAACCATGGCAGGAGAAAGCAGATGACAAAGAGTGGTGCTCCATACAAGATGGCATGACGACGTGAGCGAAACGCCTTGATGTTGGAGTTATCTTGCCAGTATGCAAACAATGGATCATTGACAGCATTCCAGATCATGTAGATCACCTGTGCCATGTGAAACCAGGTCTCAGAGATGTGGTAGTAATCAGTGAAGAGTCGTACATAGTAGAACCGGAAGATGGAGTTCATCAACACAGCTGCCAAAGAGGTCATAGAGTAGGCAAATGCATTCCTATCCACAAACTGCCTCATCTTGAATGATCCAGTCTATAGATTTTTTTTTAAGAAAATAAAAGAAAAATTGGACATTCATTACTAAGTACAGAATATTGTCAACAATATTTACAGATAATTGGAAGGCTGCCCACATAGTAAACAGCAGCAGCAAACTGAAGGTCTCTGCCATTCTGGGCTCAAGACATCTGGTAGTAGAGTAGGGGCTGCCCAAGGGGGCGGGGGGGGGGGGGGGGGGGGTAAACCGTCGAAACACCCCCTAGATCCGCCCCTGTAGGCTGTAGAGGCACACAGATAATGAGGGACACTCTCTTCTCGGTCATTTTGAAATTGGGAGAGAGTCATGCTACCCATGGCCACTTTCTGTTTTTGTCTCTGTTAAAGGCCGGCTGTACTAGTTCAGCCAGAAGGAATTAGACCACACAGCAAGGTCACTAACAGCTAGGTGGCCATTTCATTAACTAAGCTCTCAAATATCAAGGGGGACCAACACGCACCAAATGGGGGAGTTTTCTATATATACTGTATATAGGGAGCAAGTAGTTACAAGTAGTACAGTGTGGCTTTAATAGAATTCATATTTTTTTGTACCACTTCTTTTGTGAAAACATTTTAAAATTTGTAACTGTTAAATATGAATCAATAAACTACCGTAAACTGAACTAAACTGAAATATTCTCTTTTCAAGGTACACTGTTTAGTACTTGTAGCTACTTGCTCCCTCTGTTTAGAAATCTTCCCCAATCGGTCCATGATCCTCTTTTTCTTATGTTAAATGAGAGCTGAGTTAATGAGATAGCCACCTGTCACAGTGACCTCGCTGGCTCGATGGGTGGTCTAATCCCTTCCGGCTGAAGTAGTAAAGCCTGCCTTTAATATGTATATTAGACTACATTTATGCAGATGAAACTAACCCTATGGCTATACTCCTTAGCATTTGGAGGGGGGGGGGGTGGTCGAATACTTGAATCCAAAGGACTGTTGGGATAGTGAAAACTACATGTATACAAATGGCTGTATTGTATTTAATTGATTGATATGATAACTGTACAAATACATGTTTAATAATGAGTAGACCCTAGGCCCTAGCTATCATATATTTTTTTTTTTTTTCTGTCATAAGATATTATGATTCAGATTAATGGAACATACTGGGTTGATTTCTAAGGCTTTTAAGGTTTCTATGGAGAAATTAATTCTGAAAACACATTCTAGTTGCAGTATTAAACCAATGTTTCCTTAAAGGTAGATCTAATACAAAGTTTTGGGAAATTTTGAAAATTGGCTGGATAGTGATTCCTTACAATTTTGATATATTATGATGCCCCTGTGGATGTATTATAAGCACTACAAAATTTAGCCCCTAAAACACTTCTGCTTTCAAGTAAAATTGAATATAAAAATTTACCAGTGCTCCGGGTAAATTTTGATAAATTTCGAATAGCAACTACGGCCGTACAATAGTACAATAGTAGCTGCGACCATGAAAATCTCAGAATTAATGTCTACAGTGTAGTTGTGTTATATAATTTCCAAACGGGAATAGCTAATCAGTCCATTTTAGTCAAGAAACATTGCTTTATGGCTTAATTAATATCTTGACCTTGAGAGGGAGCTATACAACATAAAGAGTTTATTATCTAAAATTTCACAACTTTAGTTTAGACTCGAGTTCAACTGCGACAACGATCACTGAATATTGTTTGTAGGATCGCATATGCTCCCAATATGTTCATTTAAACCAAATTCATGACCCAATACCAACAAGTTTTGAATTGAAAATAATATCGCTAGTGATATTCGTTTGTCTCGCAATGTGGTCAATAAGGAATCTAAAAGTTCACGATGTTTCGTGTGCTATCTGCAACACTTCGTCTGGTGATAATAACTACTGTAAGCAAGGGTCTTTTATACCCTTGCTTACCAGACGAAGTGTTGCAGAAAGCACACGAAACGTCGTGAACTTTTAGATTCCTTATTGACCACATTGCGAGACAAACGAATATCACTAGCGATATTATTTTCGATACTACATCCGCAATGAGTAATATATTTAGCATTAAGTTTTGAATTGTTAAACAATACAAGTCATCCCTAGAAACAAAAAGAAAGGTAGATTTATTGGAGAAACAATCCAATTAAGTTTGAACCATACTTGAGACGGGATGCAACAGTAAAGAGGGACAAATAAGCTACCGGTAAGCTTCCAGTAGGGTGTCTGATCGCGCACCAGGTTTTGTGTGCTAAAACCCTTCCCATAGACATTGCATACAACCCTATAGAGTCTATGTGCATTGCAAAATTGGTCAAGTTTTTAAAAATAAATTTAGATTCAAACCTTTATCTGTTGTGATCCTGAAGGTGATACTCAATAAATGAGGTGTCATATGAAAGGGCAGATTAATTCCCATATTTCCAAAGGGGCTGCATCTCGGAATTCTAAAAATATCTTGGTCAAAACAGCGATTTAAATGCGTTTCCATGGCAACTCGGGAGATTTCCAACTTTTGAGATATGCAGCCCCGATTGATAAGTAGTCCCAGTCCTAAGGAATATATCGTTCTATGCGCTTATTTTTTCGCTAGCCCCCAGGGATCACGTACGATTTAAGTTTGAAAATACCCTTCCCCCACTTTTTGCATATAGTCTAATGCATTAGAATGCAGTTGTTGAGCAAAAAATGATAGCTCAGCGTGAACCACTTTTCGGCGTGAACCACTTTTTTGTCCATTCTGACCAAAATGCTATGAGTATGAATATTGCAGAGTTTTTGAGGGGCTGTATCTTTTGATAGAAACATCGGTGAGTCTTGAAATTTGAAATGTATTATTCTGATTACATTTTTTATTTAAATGTCCAATAAAAATGGTGAAAAACTATCCTAAATTGAAAATTGAAAAATCGTTCAGACACCCTACAGTCCCTAGACCTAGACAAGTAGATCTAGATCTAGACTATGCATGTTCCAGTCTCTACACCCAACAACCCAAGTAAGTAAGTACTTAAAGTAGTCTAGTCTATAGTTATACTTCATAGACATAGACCATATACTTCATAGACCATATACTTCGTCCAAACAATTGGGGAGGGGCTCTCGAGCCCCTGCATGCCTGCAGTCGATCTGCAGGGCTCGCGCACCTGCACCCAGGCTAGAAATAAACATACAGCGTGTTTCTATTAGTTATACTGAATTATCTGGTTAAAGAAATAAGCGTATAATGCCAGGGAAGAGCAGTTAATATCTACGCGCATTACCAGGATAAAATACACCACTCCGATCTAGCCAGAAAAAAGACGGTGAAAAAGTTCATCGAACTCTGGCTAAACAGGTCACCGCAAGGTATTGTGGGACTGCTAGGTCAACCCGGGATTGTAGTGTCGCTCGTGTCGGGGTAAAATTTTCCGATCACGTGATCACTCCTATTTCCGGTTTCTCACCGGCATGTGCACTCAATCGGAACGGGGTGTGTTTCTATCTACGTTATCCGGTTAGCCTCCCCTGCATTATCCTTCTAAAAGAAGGATAATTTTGCCGGTGAACGCGTAAAAGCTCTCTCCGGCATTATCCGGATAATGCCGGAGAAAGTGTGTTTCTATTAGGAAAACTTTATCCCTTACCGGCCATTAACCGGATAATGGCGGATAATGGCTTTAGATAGAAACACGCCGATTGTATCGTTCTACGCTAGCTACGCCTATAGTCTACGTTCACGTTAAATTATCACACGTATTTTAATCACTCACTTTCACTTTTTAGTTTCAGACCCAATCACCTCAGATCGGCACAGTGACGACTTATTACATTATTTTGCCATGTTCAAAACGCTAAATTATTCACTGATTAATGTCTTGGCGACTGAAATCCATTTAAATGTACAAATGGCCTGTATACTTACTAATGCAAATGTAGAAGTCCGTGCAAAATTATAGTCATTTCGACAGCAAGAAACGAGTCCATCAAGTTCATTTCATTCACGTCATCACACCATCGATTCTCGTTTCGGTATAGAGTCACGTGATCAACGTAAAATAGTCAACACGTGAGAAACACCAAAGAAAATGGTGCACATCGCTGCAGGAATACCTCTTCTTACCGTCACTGACGGAACCGAAATACTCGGTGTTATCGAAAAATGTAAAGCTGACACATTTTTACTGACATCAAATAGATCAATAACTATTTTTAAGGTAACTATCTTGGTAAAATTGTTGTTGCTTGTTTTGATCATAGTCCTATGTGTGTGAATTTGTGTGATGTTTTTTGGTGTGGCTTTTTTCTGTTTTGTTTGCACTTTGTCTTTTGGTTTGGGGATTTGTCGGTGCCGATTCGGATTTGTCTGTGCCGTTTTGTTATATTTTGTTTTGTTTTGTTATATTTTGTTTTGTTTTGTTTTTATTTCTTTAGTTTTCTTTTCTTTTCTTTAGTTTAGTTTTGTTTTGTATTTTATTGTTTTGTTTCTCCTTGTCCTTGAACTTAGCTCTAGATCTACTCTAGTCCACACATAGGAGCATCACTATCCTGGCTGTGTAGTAAAAAGCTGTGCTTTTGATTCTCAACATTTCAAACACCACTGTACAAAACTCAACCGATTTCACTCAAAATCGGTACTTTAGTGACAATTGATGACACCTAAATAGCAGTAAAATACATTTTTTTCAACTTAATGTTAAAAAGAATAATTTTTTCCACACCCACTGACTACAGGGCAGCACAAGCTCCCAATCCAACACACCCTGAAAGTCAACTCTCCCATGGGTTAGAACACCTCTTCACATCAAAGGAGCTGTGCACTGCCATCTCTTCCTTAAAACCCGGCAAAGCGAGTGGACCTGACAACATCTCTCCTGAACACCTACTGTACGCTGGTCGCAATACCAGGATTCTCATCCTTGTCTTGATGAATTTGATGGTTCATTTGAAGCATATTCCTCCTAGCCTTAAGGATGGTCTTGTGATCCCTCTTCACAAAGGCGGGGACAAGGATCCATCTGTCCCAGGAAAGGGGCATCACACTCACCCCTGTCCTGAGCAAGCTGCTGGAGCTGCTGATCAAACCTAAACTCACCCAGCACCTACAAGAGCACCAAATACCAGACCCACTCCAATTTGGCTTCCAGCAGGGAAGATCCTGTACTCTAACAGGAAAAGCCTTGGACCTTGTCATTGAAATCTACAAGCTCTCTAACCAACCACTATACCTTGCCATGCTGGATGCTCAAAAAGCATTTGACAGGGTTTGGCAGGAAGGTCTCCTGGCAAAGATAGCAGCAACACACCCATCCCCAGCTCTGCTGCATACCATTGCAGAATTCTACAACAGCTGCTCAAGCAAGGTGTTTTGGGACCATTCTGTAGGACCCTCTTTTCGTGTGCTGCAAGGAGTGAGGCAAGGAGGTGTTTTATCTCCCACGCTCTACACACTCTACATTGATGACCTCATCAAGCTCCTGAGAGAATGCTATCTAGGTTGCACAATCAGGAACCTCTACGTAGGTGTCATAGCATTTGCTGATGATATTGCTCTTCTTAGTAACGACCCAACAGAGCTCCAACAAATGCTTAACATCACATTCCAGTACACCCAAGAATGGAGGTACAAGATTAACCCCACTAAGAGTAAGAGTGCCGTCATCGTGCTGAACCAACATCGTACAATCAGCGGACATTCCTGGCATATCGATGGCGAGCCAATAGATGAGGTATCCTCCTTCAAGCACCTTGGTATAACCAGGACATGTGACCCTCAACATGATTATGCAGCAGATACGATCACCAAAGGTTACAGAGCCTTTTATGCCTTAGTTGGAACCTCTCCACTCGGAGCAAGGGTCGTACCTCACATCGCGGCAAAGCTCTGGACAACATTCTGTGTGCCACGGATGCTGTATGGCTGCTCCAGCGTGCCTTTCTCCAAAGCAATGTTGAATCGCCTAGATAAAGCACAGATCCACCTGTTCAAACAGATATTGGGGCTTCCAGCAACATCAGCTGATGAAGCCGTCTATCTGCTCACTGATACCTTCCCTATTAGTCTGCTGATCTTACAAGATAAGCTTCTTCTCCTAGGGCAGATCTTGAACATTGACTCTGATAGGATCGAACACAGGATGCTCCTTCATGGTATCTGCTCCAACACCTCTTCCATCCAGCAATGGCGCTCTGCTCTCAAGCAGCTCAGTCTTCCCACTCTAGACGAGCTTGTAATGAGACCCCCCAACTACCACCTATGGAAGCGCATGGTACAGTTAGCAGTGATGCAAGCTTCTGAGACCAGACAATTTGTTGCCCTCATTGAAAAGACTTCTTTATCCCTGTGGACCAGAAGAACTAAACCTAAGGCCAAGGATCTGTATCCTGGGCATATCGCCAACCCAAGCTTGAGGTCAGCTATCACCATTCGAGCCCAGATCTCCTGCAAAGTCTACCTGACCCAAGTCAGGCTTGTCAGGATCGGGAAGGCAACTGATGACTGCTGCCGTCTGTGTCGGGTAGAGCGAGAGGATGTTGAGCACCTTGTTGCAACTTGCCCAGCCCTATCATCTGTGCGTCAAGACCTTATTAATCGTATTAAGGATAACCTCAACACAAAGCAGTTTGCTCAATATTTCGAGTCTGCGCCTGCGCTGTTCTTGGAGTCAGTGCTATTTCTCCCTGCTGGGCACATCAGCAGTAGTGCCAAAACACAGCTGCATACCCTTATCCTTTATTTTATATGCAACCTTCACACAACCCGTCAAAATCTACTTAACGACCTATAGAAAGCCATTTATGTAACTTCGGCAGACTCACAGTGCCGACGATCTCCGACCTGAGCGGAGGAAGGATACAAGAGAGAGTGTCAAACTTTGCTTACAGCTGCATCGAGAGACTGAAGCTTTTGTTTTGTCTAATTTTTTGCTAGATGCCTGGATCTAAACAAAGTAGAATTTTAACCAAAAGAAACATTAATTTAATGACATTGAATGCAATTATAATACACTCCACGACATACCTATCAGCTATAATCACGGATCTGTTTACGGTCTTTCACCATTTGTTGACGTTCTTGCAGATTTTGGCAGATTTGAATCCAATAATAATCGTACTATTCGTGGCGAAAGAACATGACATGCACACAGGGTCACGACTATGACAAGTACCAGAGGGCGCGGTGGGTTGGTCACTAAAATCTTCTCATTGGCAACAGGTAGATCTAGACCCTAAATATATGGGATCTAACTTTAGTCAAAGAACTTTTGATAGCGATTAACATGTCAGATGTCGAACAATGTCAACAAAAAAAGATGATATTTTGTTAATACAGAATTTTACGAAATGGACATTAGAATGTAGATCGAAGACGATGTTTATGTCAATCTTGTGTTGATTTGAGCCCCATAGCTACAGCCATCTCCAAATGAGAGAGAAAACTGTGAAAGGTGACATCATTTTAAAGCCAGCCAAGAATAGATTAAAAAACGTCAATTGCGCCATCAAAATATGAATATGTTTCAGCTGCAATGTGAACATGTGACGTGACTTTTATAGCGTAGTCTCACACCTAGTCCCTTATTCTCACAGCACTAGACACTGTGTCGAGCTTGTGCAGTAAATCATGTATGAGAAGTGTTTAAAAAGATATTACAGTAAAAATGACTGGATTAACAGTCTATACTCCAATTGAGAAATGGGATGGTATTCTGTCATTTTCATCTCTGCAACTTACTAAGTTGTGATGGTCAACGACAGAGCATCTCGCGCAGCATCAGATATGAATACATGGTTATGTGAGTTAGATACGGAGAACGGGAAAAAATACACTGGGACTTGGGGCAAATTCGCCCCCAAAATGCCAAAAAGAGCCCCCGAGACTCATAAAAGAGCCCCCCCCCCCCCCCCCCCAAAAAAAAAAAAAAAAAAAAAAAAAAAAAAAAATCATAGAGTTCAATGCAAAACAAATTCAAGGGTGTTATTTTCATGCAAGCAAGCACAGCCCCCGAAATGTTTTTAATAATTTTGTTCCCTGAATTTGGAGAACATTCACTGCTGCACTAGTAAAGAAAGACACCAAGTTACACATACCGGTAGATAAGTAGGATTGAATTTACTTACAATTGCAGAAAGACTTGATTCAAGGTATTTACAACTTCCAGTATAGATCATGATATATCAAGTACTATTTGGGAGATGGAAACAAAGTATTTAGAATTTTTGCTCATTTAAAAAAAATAATCATAATAATGTTTTTCTTTTATTCTTTTGTTTTTGTTTCATTTCAGCCTCAAGATCCGAAGCCTTTACAGAGTTGGGTAAACAAACCTAGCTCTCGTTTCACATGTCCTGCAGTGTATATTCAAGAGACTGATGAGTTTGTAGCTGTAGTCAATGATAAGGTAATTGTGATGGTCTTGCCTAGTCATGTCAATGATAAGATAATTGTAATGGTCTTGCCTAGTCATTTCTTATTTTCTTATTTATTTATTCGTACGGGGTAGCCCATTCAACATCAGTTGGTCTCCCATGGGGCCCCTAAAAACATACATACAGGAATGCAACACAATATGTTCAAATAAAATCATTAAAAACTAGACATATAATACTTGTTTGGAACAAGTATAGGTGGGCTGGTCAACTAAAATTTGACACAAAATAGAGCAAAAATAAGCGAGACACTGCTAAAAAACAATGTCATGTAGATTTAATGATGTGAACGAAATTCACCTTCCATAGGCATAACACGCAACTTAAGAAATTTCTGATATGTGCTCTTTAATCGTAATTTTTACTATGATGACGTGATCAAAATGAAAAATTGTGAAAATTGAGCTTGTAGAGAATTGTCTTAGCTACAACATATCGAAATTTAGAAGAAAATCGATCAACATTTACAGAGATACAATCAATTTTCCATAAGTATGCTGACGTCATAATATGCAAATTCGTATTTTGAGTTCCAAGGCCATTATGATGATGTCACGATACACTTAATGACCAAATGAGACATGAAATCATATCTCTGACTCATATTTTATCTAAATATGAAACAAAATTGAGGGTCTCTGTGCATTCCATAGAGCTATAATGGATTTTGTATAGGCATGTTTTTGCCCATATATGCTATTTATTAAAAGAGCTCGCGCGCACTGACATTAATCTTGAATGGACGCTCATCTTGTTCTCAATGGTCATAAAGAGATAAACATGGTATCAAATTGTTCGAAAAAATATGTGAAATATCATGAAAGAAAAAAAAAAATTGGCGATTCTATGTTTTGTAATGGTGTTAGGCGCGAAAACGTGCGCGTGTGCGCGATTTTTTTATAAAATGCTTAAAATGACCTGAAACGTATGCAAAATAAATTTGAGACGAATTTGAGCATTTAAAAATTTTGCGCGCGTACTGACGCGCGGACGTACGCGCATGCGCGCGTTTTTAGATCTGAAATTAACCGGACTGATATTGACCTTGATCATGATAAATATGAATGAGAAATAACTTTTGGGTTATGAAGATATGATCATGAGTTGATTTTCAGAAAAAATCAGAAAATGACGCCTAGATGACGTCATCAGTCAAGGCCAAGGTTGAAAACCTTACCTTATTTTGTCCATATGCCTATAGATATGTGTGCCAAATTTCAAGATATTTGGTTGAACCATTTCAAAGTTATATTGTTAACAAAAAAGTGGTTCAAAATAAGAAAAATAAATAAATAATAAATAATAAAGGCAATTTTAACAAAATTATAAGGTGGTCTGTATTAGATACAGCCCACCTGATTGTAATACATACACAATAATGCCAAGTAAATAGTTTAAAAAAAGGATGTAAAAACATTGAAATATATCAAGGTGAATGTTTGCAATATAGAATAATCAAATATTTAAAGTACAATACCGAGTAACAGAAAATAAAGATATTTAAACAAATATGAAACAGACTATTAGTGAGTAACTAGGTACCATAGAATCCCTTATACGTCCAATGACTTGAGATACTGTTAAAGATTAAATTTGAAAGATACCAAAGAGGGCAACTCCCGTATAATAACCGGCAAATTATTCCACAAATTTGGACATACAGTAGGTAATATAAAGAATGTTTGCAGTACTCAGTGCGGCATTTGGGAACAACAAGATCGTGTCTGGCGGCTTGTCTCGTATTTTTATCATGTTTTCTACTTAACTCTTGGAAATAATTTGAGTAGTAATCAGGAGAGAGGCCTTGACAGCATTTATAAACAAATATATAACAGAAATAGGTTATTTGATATCTGAAAGGTATCCAGTTCAGACTTGAGAACATTTCCTTAGATGGGCTATAAATATTACACCTAAGGATCAGACGGGCTGCCCTCTTTTGTAGTTTAGTAATTCGATCTACATGTATATTAAAACGATCTCCCCATATCTCACAGCAGTAATCCATCTGTGATTGAATGAGGCATGTATATAATAATTTTAGAGTATCATTTTCTACAAAAGGTCGAATTCTTTTTAACATCGCAAGACCGGCAAATATTTTTTTACATACAGAATCAACTTGTTCATGCCATAATAAATGTCTATCTATTATTATCCCGAGACATTTAAAACTTGCACATTGATTGATTTCAACCCCATCGTAAGTGATGCGGATGCTGTCATTACTACAGGTACTAAGTTTTTGTTTACTCCCTATAATCATAAACTTTGTTTTACCTGTATTTAAATGCAAACTGTTGTTGATTATCCATGTACCTATTGCATTCATTTCGTGTTGCAATTTATTTTCCAATTCACGGATAGAAGTTCCATTGACATACAAAGTGGTGTCATCTGCATACATTATGACTTTTCCTTCCCTAAAGACATTGACCATATCGTCAATATAAATTAAAAATAGAAGGGGGCCCAGTATCGAGCCTTGAGGAACTCCTATAGATAGGGAACGTTCCTTTGACAAAGTTTGTCTAATTGACACTTGTTGTTTTCTATTTGTAAGGTAGGATTGAAACCATAATAAAGTATCATTAGTTAATCCAATTTTGTGTAATTTGGCTAACATAATAGATGAATCTACTGTATCGAACGCTCGTTTTAAATCTACAAAAAGAGCACCAATAATTTTGCCACCGTCAATAGCACGTACCCAAGTATCAGTTAGAACACCAAGTGCTGAGGAGGTAGAGTGACCGGGTCTAAATCCAAATTGTGTATTGGAAAGCACATTATTGGAGATGAGATGATCATAGAGCTGCCGATGAACCAATTTCTCTAAAATTTTACTAAGAGTTGGGAGAATGGAGATTGGGGGGTAATTTGGTATTGCATTAATGTCACCTTTTTTGTACAATGGAAGTACTTTCGCGTGTTTCCATTCATCCGGGTATGTGCCAGACGATAATGACAAATTTATTAGTTGGGTGATGCTAGGAATTATTGCGTCACCAGCATTTTTTATTAGTTTTACATTGATTTCATCAACACCAGTTGACTTCGAGCCGTTAGAGGTATCCAAATTTGCTATGATTTTCTTAACAGAATCAGAGTCAACCTCATCGAATACAAATAAATTAGCAGAACTACCAAGACCTTCATTGCCGGTCTGAACAATGGGAGGAAGATCAGTATCACTAAGAGAGTCACTATTACATTCCAAGTCATTGATATTAATTTGAATTAGGTAGTCATTAAATGCATCAGCGATACTGATATCAGTGTCATAAGATTGAGTATTCAAATAAAGAGTTCTTGGTAATTCCCTCTTCATTTTAGGCATAAGTGAACGCAGACATTTCCACATACCTTTAGGATCCCCTTGATTATTTCTTATTTCTGATTTGAAATACTCGATTTTACTTCGTTTAAGAGAATCATTTACTTTATTTCTCGAGTATTTGTACTTAGACCAAAGTTTATCACATTCATCCCTTGTTTGGGAATTGTCACGATTGGCATTCCGTCTGGAACATAAAAATCTTTTGAGAACTTTATCACGCTTGGCCATTAATGCACGGAGATCAGCATTTATCCAGGAAACAGATTCAATTCGAACCCTTAACTGTTTTTTCGGGGCAATAGCATTAACCATGTCCATAAACAACCATTTCCATTCATACAAATATTTATTGACATTTATATTCGGTCCGTCAGCAACATTCGATCGGTTCAAATGGGCTTTGGATAATAATAATTTGAACTCTTTATTATCAAAGTGTTTGAATGATCTAAAGTGGATTATTTTATGATCACAATTTGATTTGTACTTTGGATGTAATTTACGTATTGCGTAAACCAAGTAATGATCACTTAGTTAAGTGTGAACACATCCATGCTCGGCAATATTTTCAACTCTTGACGTAAATACAGTATCAATCAATGTTTCAGATCTGTTCGTCACACAAGTTGGCGATGTGATAATTTGAGTCAAATTGAAAGACTTCATGATAAAGTCAAGTTTACAAGAGGTACTTGAATTATGGAAATTGAGATAATTCGCAATTTAAGTCACCTAAAATAAGTAATTCATTGATAGCAGTAAGTGAACAATTTATTCTCTCTAATATGTTTTCCAATCTATCATAAAATGAAACATCGCAAGAGGGTGGTCTATAAATACAAACTATAATAAAACTTTTTTGATAAGGTAGGTGAACTTGTAAGCATATCATTTCAATTTAGGGATCTTCAAATTCATGTCTTCTAAAATAAGTAATTTTATCAGAAACGTATATGGCCACGCCACCACCCATCCGTGTTCTATCTTTGCGCTCAATACGAAGACCGTCAATGAGCAATTCCTCATCGGTGATTGTGCCGTCGCAAAAAGTTTCATTCAAACATAATATATCAACAGAGTTGTTTGATAATAAATATCGGAGAGAGTCCATCTTGTTCACTAATCCCCGTACATTTAAAATTAATGTCAATGATAAGGTAATTGTAATGGTCTTGCCTAGTCATGTCAATGATAAGGTAATTCTAATGGTCTTGCCTAGTCATGTCAATGATAAGGTAATTGTAATGGTCTTGCCTAGTCATGTCAATGATAAGGTAATTCTAATGGTCTTGCCTAGTCATGTCAATGATAAGGTAATTGTAATGGTCTTGCCTAGTCATGTCAATGATAAGGTAATTCTAATGGTCTTGCCTAGTCATGTCAATGATAAGGTAACTGTAATGGTCTTGCCTAGTCATGTCAATGATAAGGTAATTCTAATGGTCTTGCCTAGTCATGTCAATGATAAGGTAATTGTAATGGTCTTGTCATTATATTACTTCAATGATTAGGGTAATAACATCAATAACTAACATTGCCATTGCTGCAGTAATTACAATCTTAAACATCTTCTTTCAGTTTTAGTACTTCATCACTTTCTTTCACATCTTATTTTAGCAAATCTACAAATGGTCATCAGAGAATGCCACTCCTTTCACACAGAAGCCAAAGACTCTGAAGAGTGCAGTGTCTAGAATTCTCATTCAAGAACGAGGAAACCCCCTACTTCTGATGTCCAATGGCTCTGTGAGGTTGTTAGATGATGCTGTTGGTGGCAGCAGAGCCGTAGAGAAGGGATTCTTGGAGGAGGGTGAAGAGATCAGGGATGCATGGATATGGAGAAAGGGAGCTGATGAGAATATTACATCATACATCATATGCCTGGTACAGAACTCTCTGGTAAGTTGCTTCCCTGTACCCAGGTTTACAGAGGTTTACAGATGGGCAACTGGTAGGATGAAAATATCATTATGGTAGTGTATGTGCAAACCTGTAGATACGGCAAGTGACTGTAACATCTTCATCGATTGGAGAGCGTGCGTAGAAAGTACAGCATTATAATGTAAATCAATAAGTGCAGTACGATGTATGTGATTTTCATTTCCACTGTTCCCCCCCCCCCCCTCCCTCCCTAAATCTGATAGTTGAGTATAAGATACTGTTCATGGCGCTGTAAACCATCTCAAAAACATTCTTTAAGTAAAAAAATAAAACAAAACAATTTTACATGTGAATAAATCATGAGTTGGTGGGAGGGGGGGGGGGATGAGTAGCAGCCCTAACCTTTCTTACTTATCTATGTGTTTTACGATACAGAAATTAGAAGTGAACTGTGCTTACCGGTAATGTCGTGTTGGGATCGGTCTATTGAGTTATTGGCAGTATAGGAGAGGTACATATACAATGAAGCAGCAAGGAGAGACTTGTAATTACTGAGTAATATCAGAGTATTTTATTATCTCCAAACTTTGGAGACTCAAATCGAGTACATACGAACTTCCACATTGTAAAACACAAGATGAAGAGAGAGCCAGCTAGAAAGAGGGTCTTGATCTAATGGTGATCAAAACTCAACTCCTCTCAGAAAGCCAGAACCTCTCATAATTATACAGGAGGACACAAGGAATATGAGGCTAGGTTACATTGTGTCAAAGGGACAAAGACAAGTCAATTCTAGCTAACACTGTTCTGGGAAAGGGTCTTATCAAACAAAGGGGGCTTTGGTTATTGGGAGAAAGACAGGACGTCTTTTGTTTTGGAGGTTTTGGGGCACTTTAAAGATGTATACAATTTGGGGTTTATTTGGCTGGAATAAGTTATTAAACAAATGTCTTCGAAGGAGGTCTGGTATTTCGCAGGGTGGGTCTTATCTGTATTGGGGCATACTGAGTGATATTACATATTATTACTGAGGGGGTGTAGATTCGTAATACCTTTACATAACAGTAAATATCATTTGATGTTGTCATAATGCCTTGCTGAACCGTGCACTACAAAGATACCCTCCCGCATTTATCTCCTCTGCAGACAAAGAAGAAAAGTATTCTACTCCTGCCAGTTCAGCCAGGTGAAAAGCAGCATGACAAGTCAGGTGATGATGTGATGAGGTTACAGCTTGATGATCCAATCAATAAAGCCTGCCCTCTTGAGTCTGCTACATTATTCACTGATGAGACCACTGCTGTACTTCATACGTTATGTGAGTGTCTCTCTGACCCATGCGCTCACAACTTTTCGTCGATGACTAAGAAAAATAATTCTTTGAAATACATTTGCTAACAAAGTTTTTTGTGTGAAACTTTACAATATATTATGTATAACATTTAATTTAAAATTTGATTGATGAGGACTTTAAAAAAAGGAATTACTTGTCAATAATGCAGAATGTTGGTACAAGTATTAGAATTTCAATTTCAATTTTAAATGCATCTATTAGGAAAAACACAACCCATCTGCTTGTTTGTATAATCATGAATTCAAACTCAACTTAGGCTGCTGAAATGGTGATTTATCTTGTGTGGCTGTGACTTTTAAAGAGTTCACAACAGTTAACTTAGCACCTGCTGTATCAGTTTCACAGTGATTTTTAACCATAATTCTTTGCAGGGGATGGAGGAAGACTTTGCAGTACATCAATCACCGAATCTGATCTGAGACGATACAAGGACTCTCCAACTCTGTCATGCCATCATAGATGTACAATTAATGGAAGTACAGGAAAGGTAACCTCATGTCATCATCTTTCTGAAAGCCCCACTGTCCTACTTGTAGCTACTTGCTCCCTCTATATAGAAAACAATGCCTAATTGGTGACCATTTGTCCCCAATGATCCTCTTTTTCTTATGTTAATTGAGAGCTGAGTTGATGAGATAACCACCTGTCCAGTGACCTTGCATGGTGGTCTAATCCCTCCTAAAAACTAGTACAGATAAGCTTTAAAGTGAAGATGTATCTATTATGAAACCCTATGCATGTATATAACTGACACTGTCGCTGCTTGGTAAGTTGTAAATCAATAGCTTACCCAGGGATTATATCTCAAAGCACTTTGTTTCCAATGGGAAAGGCATTATTATTTTATTGTGGTTTTGGATTTCTTTTAGAACACATATCTGTAGATACATGCACTATGCGAACCTTGTTTCACTGTTTAATACGTTGCATTGATTAATCCTTTTATTTAGGACTTATCGTTACCTACACTGTAGAGAAATAAAAGAAATGACAGTTAAATGACTTTGCATGCATGTTTTGAAGGATCTGAAATGCACTATGTACTCATACCTTATTAAGACTGACCTCTAGGGGTATGAGTACAGTGTATATATAACGTACGGGTATGCTCAGGCACATAGTTGCGTTCAATGATTAATTAACTGTTCACTTTGATGTGTATTCCATATATATTGTAATTTGTAGGTTTATTTGCATATTTAGTTTGTTTAAGATGTAATTGTATATCAGTCTATTTTGTTTGTTATAGCGCTTAGAGACTTCGGTGGTAAGCGCTTTATAAGTAACGTTTTTATTATTATTATTATTAGTATAATTCAAATAATGTGAAATGTGCATTTTCACCTTGACACGATAATAAAACCAAATACTTGTCATCTATGTTGTAACTGATCTTACTACTTTGTATGTATGATGATTTGATCTTAGGTTAGAATAGCCGCAATTGATGATACACATGTTGCTGTGGCTGGGATGCAAAGCAAGACAACAAAGGATAAGCTAGAAGGTAACATTTAAAGGGATCCGGTAACTTTGTCTCAGATTCTGAAACAAAATTCTGGATTTAGCTCATGATGCAATAATAATTATAAACCTTTAGGTCAGTCAGGAACCCCATGACTTTTACAAGCCGATCGCCTTTCTGATTATCAAGATATTTATGATTGGAATTACAAATTTTGAAAACCGTTTGCCAAACGGTTTTCATAACAGTACAGTCTATTGGGGAAAAAGAGTGTGGTAAAACCGGTCACTCAAAGATTTTTACTCTTTTGAGGCACTTCTTGATCATTTTGAAGCGCTTTTTTTTTTTAGGGCTTCAATATTACACAATATCACAGACACTGATAACACGTAGGGCCATGTTAGTGTATCTCAGATTTAATATTGTTAAACAATCCCTTTAAAACAAAGTGCATGGAATTTTGATAATTGGTTTAGGATAAAATAGTCAGTGTATATAAAACATGACTCGTATCCAAATACATATAGACATGGATGATAAAATGCAAGAGTACAGGTTAATTGTGTATTTAAGGTGAAGGTGTGGGAGGGTATCATACCAGCTTCTATTTGTCTTGCTCCTCTTTTTCTAATTTGTCTTTTTCTAATTTGTCTTTTTCTATCATTTTCATTTGCCATTTGGAGTAGAGAGCACCCCTCTATTCATAGCTACATCACTGCACAGACATAAGATAATGAGCTGTAACAGATATAGCGGTAGCGATGATATACTTATAATATACATGTAAAATGAATAGATTATGAAATGTAGATAAGTTTATTTGCAGTTAAACTTGAGATAATTCACTTCTTGAACCAATTAAGTTGTATCCTCATTTACTTGTAGCTTCACTGTGTATATGGGAGACTGGATTTGGTACTCTACAGATTCATCATGCCCTGGGTCTAGAGGACGGTGATGGTGATGGGACACCCTTATTTCTTGGTGAAGTCAATGGACATTTACTCCTAGCAACCAGAAGAACAGTCATGCTACACAGGTTAATATTGTTTGTGTGACACTTCCACGATTGTTCCTGCTTCATGAGTTGATGATTACATGAACACAAAGTGATACCAATTATTTATTTCTCTTTGAGGGTATCTATCTGTTGACTACCAATTACTGTTTGGTCTACGATATTGCATAAATATTCTTATGTGGGATAAAAGTCTACTAAAGCTGTTCCTTGCCTGCTCTGACAGTTTACGTAAAGGGAGAAAAGAGTTGAATTAAACATTGTACAAATATTGTTGTGTTGTGCCATTTTGGACAGTTCTGCCCCCTTCCTTATCAAAGTCACCCATCCTCTTACATTTTAATCGATTGCCAGTATTTTGAAAGCTCAAATCCAGTGAAGTGACATTTGCTCTAGTGGTACTTTGCTTTAGGATATTTTGTCAAAGATTTTAGGTTTATAATTGGGGTTGAGTGTAATATTGGATCCAGGCTTGCAGTAAGGAGTTTGATTAGTATTAGAAATAGTTGCTGTTGCTTGTGTTGTACATATATGTAGCTTACCTATCGTGTCTGTATACTAACAAAATTTGGCTACCCAAATGATACATGACACATTGACTTTGCTGGATAAAGGGGGAGAGTCGGGTCAGTGGGCAGATGCCTAGACCTATCAGTTTGCTTTCAAACAAGTGAATATCAAAGGAATGTCAAACTATTAATCAAAACTTTGTCTTGTGTACCTATGTATACAGAATAATCATGTTTTTTCTGTTAATGATCTAAGAATGAAAAGAAAAAGATCAGATTTTGATAGATGATTCTGTTTTTGCTTGATATACATTGTGTGTATTCTACTCAGGTATGAGTGTTCTGATGGAACTCTGGCTGCTGCTCTGGGAAGGCTCGCTGGACCAGGACCAGGTCTACATCAAGATCTACCTATTCTAGGACTAGATTGGACCAGTTCACTTCTTGAAGAGAGCCCTATCAAGGTATAACACCTGTTAGGCGCTATATAAGCACTGTAATTATTATTATTATAGTACTTTCTAAAGGCCATCTATAGTATGTTAATAGACCCCTGTTATATGTAATTGGTGTAGTATAACTATAGATTTAGCTATATGAACAAATCTGAATGCATTAAGCCATTATGGTTTCTAGGGCAAGCAGAGCTGGATTTAAAAAAATTATTTTCTAATCCTGTTCTGTACATTATGCAAATGTTCATGTCGTATAGTTAACCTTTTGACTACTGAATTGTATAGGTCCCATAGGCTTAACACAGGGACCACCAGGTTCTCGTAAGCAAAGGGTTGGTTGAAGTGATTTCTAACTTATTGACAAAAAATCCAGGCAGCGTTTCACAAAGCCGTCATAAGTACAAGTTCACCGACAAGACAAGAAATGAGTGTATTAAATTTAACACTTGTTTCAACAGGATGTCGGCGAACTTGTACTTATGGCGGTTTCATGAAACGATATCCTGCTGTTTATTTCTGAACGCACTATACTACCGTGCACTATACCAGACACTATTGACAATGTATGAATAGGGTTTTGCTAAATAATGCCAGTCCCATCCTTTGTTCTAAGTGAATCAGTCTTTGCAAGATTTGAAATGGTTCATTGTCTGATATAGTTATCAAGATGACAGTGGATTTTCTGTTATTCTTTTACTAGAAGCCCAAAGGTAGGAAATCGACTGCAGGTACCAAGACTCAGACCCAATCAAAGGACTCAGATGGGCAAACATCTTTGTTGCTGAACAGTATCTTAGATGAGTCTAATGTGAGTAATACAGGTTATGATAATATTACATTATAAATTGGTCATTGTAGGCTTCATGTAAATATGATGCCGTGAACCACATGAATAGACACTGCATAGAAATAGAATGAAAGAAGCAAAGCAGGCTCCACATTTCTGTACTTTATAAGACTCAGATAAGTGAGTAAGGGGTGGGGGGGGGGGGGGGGGGGGGGGGGGGGGGGGGGCTTGTTGAGCAAAACTTCCTCTTTTAAAAAATATCCACTTGCCATTAATTGACCTATAAAATTGTTTTGTTTTATAAGGCTTTTTTATTTCCTTTATTTCTTCTTCATATCTGGTTAATCTTGCTCTGTTCTTATATTGTTTTTATTTTCATAAAGACAATTCCCTTCATAAATCAGAATAATATTTAGAAGAATGGACCAAAAGTGAAATTTCCTTTTTTGTCAGACATGATCAACTTGGAGGATACCATAGGAGAATGTAGAAGCAGGGGGCTACAGTAGATTGAAGCAGTTGGCTCTAAAACACACAACTTGGAGGGATACTTGTTATAGCATTGATAGGGGTCAACATTATGAGCCATCTCTAAAGAGTATAGTCAACAATTTATTTGAAAATGTAGTAGAACGTTTTCATGCCCCTTTTGAAAGATCAATAAACTGAACACATGATTGCGCATTGCATCTTTGTCCATTAAACAAGACACTGAAGCTGTTCAAACCATCAATTCAAGGTGGTATTAAAGAAATAAGCATATCAATAACATTTATAAGGTTCTTCTTTGTTAATACACTTTCCAGACCCAGACTTCAAAAGTGTTCTCAGGTTTAGTTGAAAAGTACATGAAAGCTTGTAGAGGTGATCAGCCAGACAGCACAGCACTCATGCTCATACTCAAGCATGTTGTCAAGAGGGTTGAAACCAATCCTAAGTTCTGGTGTCCAGAGACATTACATCATGTCATTACAACCAAAGCAGTGGCGGCAAGGTAAGAGATAGGTGTAATGTTCTGATCAAACTTTTTTATGCCTCCGTTATGAAGTAGCCGGAGGCATTATGTATTCGGTTTGTCCGTCCGTCCGTCCATATGTAAGTCTTTACGTACGTACGTACGTACTTCTCGTTCTCGTGATCGCATTATCTCAAGAACCGATTGATGGATTCCTCTCTACTTAGGTCATGTATGTATCTTGCAGAGTCAATGAATTGATTAGATTTTGGGGTTACGAGGTCAAAGGTCACAGGGCTCATTATGTATGCAAAAATAGCTCCTGATCACATTATCATTAGAACAGATGGACAGATTACCATAAAACTCAAGTCATGTATGTATCTTGCAGAGTCAATGAACTGAGTAGATTTTGGGGTCACGAGGTCAAAGATCAAAGGGTCATACAGGTGTACATGTATATGAGAAATAGCATGTAATCACAATATTCTGAGAACCTGTTAATGGATTACAATCAAACTTGAATTTGAAAAATTGCTTCTGTTTTGGTTTGTAAAATTGCTCTATGACGAAGGCATCATTTTCGACTGAGCATTCAAGGTTCCATCTAGTTTTTTTTGGTATCAAGATTGTTTTGTATCCTGTTCTTGATGATTTTCAGAAAATAGTAATTGAGAAAAAACATAGCAAATGCGTGGCATTATTTGTTTTTTGAGTAAACTAAATGTCTTTATATATCTATGAAAATGACAATAATAAAATAATGAATAAACAAACAAAGACACAAACAAATGCCATAGTGGTGAATGAAGCTCCGGAAAGCTCCAAAACAAGTTTACATAAGGCAGCTACGGTAACTGAGGTTTGTACGAACCATGCGTTCGTACAAATCTCTGGAAAGCTCCAAAACGAGTTTACATAAAGCTACGGTCACAGAGGTTTGTACGAACCATGCGTTCGTACGAATCTCCGTTTTTCCATGGTCTGAAAATTGTTCGTACAGTGTTCTTAGCAGTTTGTAATGGCATTTGTGACCAAGGCTTAATACAATTTGAAGCCTTCAGTGACACTATGTTGTAGCATTAAGTGAAGAGTGTAGTTCTTTATCAGAATAGATTTGAATGATGAGAATTATCTTGAATCATTCATTTTTTCAGCTCATGTCCAGAGTTTATAGCTATGCTAGCTAGGAAGCAAGAAGTATCCCTACTATTAGACTGCCTGCAATGCATGAGAGATGTACCGGAGCTTATACTTATGCAGTGCTTACAGGTCTTTCTAAGGTAAGAACATGTCATCTCCTTGTTTGATGTTCAACAATAAGGGGATAGAGCAACGTCGATCTGGTGCTGCTCAGTGGCTGCTCAGTGGCTGCCGGGCTCACGATCAATTGGGCAAAAAGAATTGCCATTTTAGGTTTAATGAAATTTGGAGTGGACTAAAAGATTATCATTATAAGGAGGTTAGCTGTGTTGATGGAGTTCATGCCCTTATGGTTCTTAGCAGATGGTATGGGAAAAACAGCCATGCTAAAGCCAAGGTAATAAGCGCCAGGAGTGTCAAGTCTGATAAATATGAGCGCTATACAAAACCCATTATAATTATTAGTATGACTACATGAAGAGAGGCATTCTTCTATTGTGACTGAACTGTGCTCAAATCTTATGAAAGATTTCTATGATCAAAAGATAATCTTCAAGGTAAATGATAATTATTTGATGAAAGTTGAAAGTAACTGCTCTCATTATTGATATAGTGTAGCATGAAAATAATATGGTAATTCAAAAGGTTTTTTTTTTTTTTGGGGGGGGGGGGTGGGGGATATTTCACCCTACCGGTACTCTTTTTGCATGATGATATTGCAGCTGATAAGACTTTGTTGCTATGCTGATTTGCATCATGTTATGTAATACATGAAACATCTTTAATTGGAAACAAAGAAGATGCTATAGGCATACTTCTCATCAAGAGATAGTAGTGCATATTATTTCATTTTAGATGCTTTAACCTTTTGCCTTTTTTTTATACTTAAACTCTCTTTGTAGTATTGATGAAGACAAACTACCATCTAGCAGGCAAACTACAGAGACTGAGCATTCAGATGTACATGAAGTGATGAGTCCAGTTAGAAGGACTTATGTGTATCCTTTATTATATATATATATATATATGAAAGATACTTTTTGTATCACATATCTACATGCATGAAGCTGTTATAATCCCTCCATGGCAGGTTTGATTGCTGTGTAAAAGTTATCTATAGAGGTATTACTGGAGGACCTGTAGCAGTAGTAGCACTGTTTAAGTCTACACTATTCATGAATTTCATGGCATGCTGTACGGTAACGAGTTCAACAATAATATTTAATAATATTTAGCTTTTATATAGCGCTTAATACAAATGTCTCTAAGCGCTTCACAAATATACTATAACCCCGGTCATTGGACTCAGTGCTTGCCCGCAAACACTGTGTGCACAATCTCCACTCCCTGGGGAGCATTTCAGCCAGGCGTTACTTGATGCTCAAAGACTGTTTGACCAACAATGACGGTCGCATCCTACCTGGTAACCCATTTAACACCTGGGTGGAGAGTAGCAAGTGCAGGTTAACATCTTGCCAAACAATGCCAAACTTAGCTGATAATGCAGGTATGAAGATGAAGTGTGAGTAACCTGTATCAATTAGGTTGACAACAACGACTCATGATAATTTTTGCGTACTTGTTTTGCTTAGAAGTGTCTGTTCGGACAGAAAGTGGTCTATACAGAACTGTATTATCTAGATCTCCTTAACCTGACTTTTTTCAGAGATGAAGTACTATGTAAGCCATTCACAGATGCCTTTCTTCTTGATGCTGTAAAACATTTACCATTCAAAGAAGTCACAGTAAGTACTAATCAGTTCATGGGGGTGTTTCACAAAGATTCTTAGTTGAACTTAACTCTCAGTTAGAATTATGGAGAGCCATTTGTAGCCTTAAAATCAAATATATTCAAAAGTGAAAATTCAAATATTTTATACTTTTTATAAATTCCACATCAAGAACATGAAATCCCCGTTGGGAATATAAAATATTAATGATTTGAATCAACATTTTATGCCTTTTAAAATAACTTTTACAAAATATTTTCATATATGCCAACAGCTTTCCGTAATTGTTATAGTCTAACTTAGATATGAGTTCAACTTAGGATGTTAGTGAAACACCCCCCCCCCCCCATATCTTGAGTTGATTGAATAGGATTCCAGATGGGGCCATCTTTGAAAATGAAATTATCTGTACATTAGGATTGTTCATAGAACTTCAAAGCAGAATATTTCTTAAGTTCATTCATAATCATTTGACTTCTAAATTCTGTGCCCAAATTTTTAATCATCTCCTAAATCTCTTTGTCTGTAGTTGTATTTTACAGTTTTGCTTTGTTTTGTGTTGTTTTGTTGCATAACATGTTCTATTCATAAAGGGGAATCAATTAATACTATTATTAATCTTATACCTAGTGATATACATGTAAAAACCTCCATGATGACAATTTATGTTACTATGGTCAGATCAGATTGAAATTTAGAAAGCAGAATAAATGTTTGCCTTACTATGACATGGTGTGATTGTATCATCCAGTAACATCTTATTCTCTATGTTATGTTCTTGCAGTCACTACTAAGGTATCTGCACTTCTTGTTGACAGCCTCCTCTCCAGGAGGGGATGACTCATCATCACTGGTCTCCATGGATAATGTAAGTAATATGGAAATGAGATAGACTGACTTCAAACTCTTCCTCTTTGACATGCTTCAGTAAGATATTAGAGTAGACTATAAACATCATTTTTTAAAGGTCTAGTAATTCATGCTTGTTGTTTTGTTTTGTGCCGGTTGTAGATTGGATTGGTGCTCTGTTAGATGCTCACTTTGCTCAGCTAGTAATTCATGCTTGTTGTTTTGTTTTGTGTAGGTTGTAGATTGGATTGGTGCTCTATTAGATGCTCACTTTGCCCAGCTAGTAATGCATCCTTGTTGTTTTGTTTTGTGCAGGTTGTAGATTGGATTGGTGCTATGTTAGATGCTCACTTTGCTCAGCTAGTCCTCCTACCGGAAGCCAGACCTCTCCTCACTCATCTTCAGAATGCTGTTAAAGACCAGGTAAGAGAAGAATCAGCCGCCTTCAATCACAGTTACACCACTAATTCCACCAATTAAAATAGTCTATGAAAAAATCACAGAGAGAACAAAACTTTATTTGAATTGATCATGCAGAGGTTTTTAGAGCATAAAGGGGTAATCGTATTGTAAAACAACGGTACCTTTGATGGAGAGGGGGTGCTAATATGTGCAATACAAAACATTTACTTTCTTTTTAAGCTCTAAGCCATTTAATATTAAAGATGTTTTTGTACTTAGATTGGGACAAATTTGCGAATAACTAAGATGTGTCCCTGTGAGATAGAGAAATTCACTATACACAGATGTGTGATTGGTTGTTCATGTTGTCCTTTTGCAGGTTCAATTTTCATCTGAGCTCAACGTGGTAAGGAATCTTCTCCACCACACCCACGGTGCTAGGTCACACATCAAAGCCACTCCATCGAATGCAGCAAAGTCATATAGCATTGAGGTCCTCAAAATGTAGTTGTAAGACTCTATCTACACCCAATCATTGAAGTATTGAATGCTGATATTGGATTAGTAGGATATGTTCAGATCACAGCTGCTTTTTTTTTTTATCTTCAGCAAGACATTCATCAAAACAATGTTTCAAGAGTGTACCCATCCATGTGATAGAGGCAAGCTTCCCAGATTAAGAATCGTTCAGTCTGACTAAATACAAAATGTTATGAATTTTATAGTTTTGGGTGAAAAAAGGGTGTATTTTCTGGCATTTAAAAAGAAACATGGCACCTTGAATGGTTCATTCTCTCCCCGAATTTGTACTGTTATTTCTTGATATTGCAAGTTTCTTTTGTTCTCAGCATCGCTTTAAGTCCATTTACAGTTTTGTTAACCCCCCCCCCCCCCCCTCCCCCTTAATTAAAACAAAAACTGTACACGATGTACATGTGTTTGTCTTGGTCCAACAATCCTGCTATATATTTGCTACCATGTGTTTTTAGAAAATTTCTTCCCACCACAAACTTTCATGACTCTGTAGCCTAGAATCTTATCCATTAGGCCTAAAAGAAAATGATGTTGTATTGCCCGTTGCGACCGACCCGAAAAATCTTGAAATCTATAGTCGTCTTTCAAAAAATTTATTAAAAAAAACGTTTTTTAGAGGAAAAAAATATTAAAGCATTAAAATTATTTTTTAGAGGAAAAAAATATTAAAGCATTAAAAACTAAAAAATATTGGGCCAGGGAGGGAGAAAAAAAGAAGAAAAAACTTTTAAACAGAAAAAGATTTCCGACCGACTGACCCGTGTTTTGGCACCTAAAGGGCAACACAACATCTTTTTTTTTAAGGCCTTATTTGATACCAATTTGATAAATGTCACCTGTCTCTTAGCTCAACTTTGCTTAATGCAGAATTGTAAACAAAACAACACAGCATTTTTAGCATTAAAAGAGAAAGGTTATGGCAAACATAATCAATGTATCAAATCATGTATCAAATTGTTGTCATGGTTGTAGAGACCAGCTACAAAACTGTTTAGAGTGTCTCTCTAATTATTATCGGAGAGAAAAACAATTCAATATAAAAACATGTATTGTGTTCACAACAGAAAAAAAAAATCAGATGTGACTGATGCTCTTTTTATTGAAACGCTGTTTTGAGTGTGTTTTTCTTTGTTCATGATGATGATTGTGGAGATGGTGACGGGATGGTAGTTATGATGCTGCTGGTGATGATGGTGGTGGTGATGATGATGATTGTTGTGATGATGATGATGATTGTGGAGATGGTGACGGTGATGATGATGATAGTTGTGATGCTGCTGGTGATGATGGTGGTGATAGTTATGATGCTGCTGGTGATGATGGTGGTGGTGATGATGATGATGATTGTGGAGATGATGATAATGATGATGGTGATGGTGGTGATGATGATGATGGTGATGATTGTGGTGATGATGATAATGGTGGTGGTGGTAATGGCAATGATGATAATAATAAAAATAATATTAATAATAATATCAATAATAATCATAATAATATAATCATAATAGTAATCGTTACAATGATGGAGATGGTAATGATTGTGATGATGATGATGATGATGATGATTGTGGAGATGTTGGTGGTGATGATGCTGCTGGTGATGATGGTGATTGTGGAGATGATGATAATGATGGTGGTGGTGATGATGATGGTTGTGATGATGATGGTGATGATGATGATAATGGTGGTGGTGGTAATGGCAATGATGATAATAATACAAATAATATTAATAATAACATAATCATAATAGTAATTGTTACAATAATAATAATGATGAGGATTATCAGTGCCATAGCATGGGTTCAGTAATGGGAGGGGGGCACCCAGGGGCAGGCCCAATTCGTGAGAAAATATTTAGAGGCGAAACAGTCGGCCGATAATTCGCTCAGTGGGGGGAGGGGGGAGGGGTACGTAGTGAGCACTATTTTTTTTTTTTTTTGCTCCCGAAAATTTGAAAAACGCGCCGGCGTAACAGTCGTAAGCCTACAGTTGGTCAAAATTTGAGGGGGAGACTGACCAGACCAGGAGGGGATATATATACCCCTTGCCCCCTTAGAGTGGGAAAATGTTGCATTTTAAAGTGAAACGGACACACTCACAATACTCTTTCTTGTCTATTTCCCTCTCTCGTTTTCTTCTCTGCTGTACGCTACATCAAGACGCAGATCGGATCACCCCAAAACATTTTTCGATAATTTGACCAAAAATAGGAAAAATCAGTAAGATGTGAGTTTTTACTACCAGTACCGGTGTAACATTTACCTGTTATTACTATAGGCTACTAATATACCTTGTTAACTATTTACATTATTAGTGAGCGGGTACGCCCTATTGTGCCTCGAGTCAACTAAACCAGCTATTACATAAAACATGTCCTCGTTGAATAAACTGGATTTGCACTTTATGTCGACCACATATACCCAGTCTGTTTGAAACTATTAACATGAATACTTATTCAGGAGTGAGCAGCATATTTCATCTTTTTTGTATATATAATTATAGTCACAATGGTCGAATATAATATATTCAATGGCGTACATCCAATAGAACCATAGCATATAGAGCTTGGCACATTTTCGTACATATTATTTTATAATTTATCCCACGCTATATAAGTGTCTGTGATTTCAACCTTAAAAATATCCAACCCTATTTTCTCAAAGAAAAGATCTGTCCAATGCAATGTGGTTTTCAGTGCTGCATATATTTTTAATTTTGGATAAGTCTTGGAGTTACTTTTGAAGAACCTTCCGATGGCGTTGGCGCCACCCTTTCCGAGGCAAACCAAAAATGCAATATCGGCAGAACTGGCCGCCTTTGGTATTTTCAAGTCCTAAACTTGACTGTCAAATTTATTTGATAATAGCAAGAAACACAATGTTATGGCTGTTACTTCATCAATCCAGACATTATTATTACTATTCCTTCCTACTGATATCATTGTCATCATCACTTTCAATTGCTTTAACTATTATTACATTTTAGAGCGTAAAAGCAAAACGTTTGAAACTACCGTCATGTTTCACCTGATGACTTAGAATAGAATTTACGCAACCGAGGACAAACTGAGTGTTAATTTAGAACTAAAGTGAAAGTATACATTTTTATTACTCCTACAATCAACAAGATTCTAAATAACGGATCAAGGAAAAGTATTATTATTATTAATATTATTTTATTTGGTAATTCAAGTCACATAAATACAACAATATAACAAACATGAATTGAGATAAAAATCAATAGAAAGCATATTGCAATAGCAGGTGCATCCGGTCGAGCTGCCCGGGTATGGAAAAAGTTAACCAAATAACTGTGATCCGCAGAAGCTTCCTCCCCACCAGGCGGGGATCCAGGATTTCTTGGGGGGGGGGGGGGGGGGGGGGGGGGTGGGGGGGCCAAATTTGATATTTAGTGTGCTGAAATTTGAAAATCGTGACGGCCACTATTTCGCTCAGTGGGTGGGGGGGGGGGGGGGTTAGTAAGCACTTTTTTTTTTTTTTTTGCTCCCGAAAATTTGAAAATCGCGCCGGCCGATAATTCGCTCAGACGGGGGGGGGGGGGGTATGAGCACTAGGCCCTCGAAAATTTGAAAATCACACCCCCCCCCCCTTGTGCGCCAGGGGGAGGGGGGCATTTCCAAAAAAAGGTAAAATTTACATTTTTTTTACACGTTTTTTTCCCAGGTACATGAACATTTGTCTACATCAATAATCCACTTCTTGTAAAGGCCAAACTTAAACTGATTAAATCTTTGTGCAGCACAAGAAGTACGACCATTCGGTACAAGGGTCTGAAAATCAGACTTAGGTGACTGCAATCACTTATGTCGATTCGATAACTAATGGTTGTTATTTTCCCACAAAAAGCCATTATCAAGCCCTTTTGTTTTATCAGAGGGAAGTTCTAAATAAGTAGGCCTATGCCATTAGAACTTAACCTTTTCATCTTTTTGGCCTGCAATAGGACAAGGTACCTTTAAGGAAGAGGACTAAGCGAGTGTCTTTTCTCCAACAATGATCGATACTAATACTTTTACCTTGTTAAAAGAGTATGAATATGTGAAGATATTAGCCACTGTAACTGGGATATTTACGAACAATAAACACCAAGAGTCAGTTCTTTGTTTCCCGGTTTAATACTCAATATCAACTCAAATTGTGATTTTTCTGTATCTATAAAAGTACCATGGTAACCATGGTGTTGTTGTTTTTTGTCCAAATTACCATCCACCATGGTAACCATGGTTACCATGGTTTCAAACAATGATAAATATAGCTATGTATTTCATTATTTGGTACCATGATTACCATGGTTACCATGGTGGATGGTAATTTGGACAAAAAAAAACACATCATTTTTTACCATGGTACTTTTTTGTAAGGGTAAGCATGGACCTGGTAGTTCCATGATCTAAGTCTGTTGTCTAGAGATGCATTCACATAATAGTTTAACCTCTAAAGAGCATTTTCGAGCAATCTATCTCCTTACATTATTTCTTGTTCTTTTCCATTTTCCTTCATTCTCTCCCCTCGATCTCACACACTGTCCATCGCTATTACACTATGGCGCCTCGGTCTCTCGTTTCGTTTGGCGCCGAGTCGATCACACAGCACGCTGGGGTATATACACACGCCAATATCATGGTTAGAGTAGTCCTACACTAATAATATCCACACACACACACACACACACACACACATGAAACGTATACATCATGATGCATTAACGCACCGTGCAACGGAGCGAATTGGATGCACATTTCTACCAACAAACCCACACACACGCACGCACAATCGATGAGTTTTCATCGGGGCCCGTTAGATGAGCATCGAATATCTAAAATGGCGGCGCCTGTATCATACAAAAGCTTCTTTCTCATGGCGAAAAATGCATTTTCATTACGTGCATACTTTGGAATAATTGTTATATTCGTTCTATCTTCATCATATGCTTTGGAGAATGGGGATGTAGTTGGTTACAATCCCACAGGGCCTCCTGAGCTCCAGTTTTGTACATTTTTCAACAACCGCGCTCCGGAGGTCCAACCAGACCTTAAAAACTGTACGTGGTTTCGTGAAAACAGTTGCTGCAGACAAATTGAGATTGATGTTACATTCAAAAAGATGAAGTCACTACCAGGAGCTTCTAAGCAATGCCAACGCTACATTAATTATCTCATGTGTTATATATGCTCTCCTCATCAGCATCGTTTCTACATCGTACAGCGTCTGACCGTCTGTGAAGAGTTTTGTGATGCTCTGTTACACCACTGTAAAACCGCCATGTTGAAAGGAAGTCAGATAGGGGACTTATACTCCAAGGGAAGTGACTTCTGTACAAGCAGACGAATGGACATTGGCAAACTGGAAGATGGTAAATGTTTTTACTTCAACGAGAGTATGTCAAACATACCATCAGCTAGCAAAGCAGCTCGACTTGATACACAGTTATACCGCATTGTACTGATCTTCTTGACTACGTTCTTGGTGAGCAATTCCGTTTGGAGGTGAACTGGGTATTCTAATGACTTACCATAACGTAATTCACTAATAATTATGCAAACAGATTGAATTCCTGCAGTAGATTAGTGAGAGAAACATAGTCCCGCGGGGAGCATGAGATGTCATCATATTTTCGGCTGGCTATGTGTGATTCAATACTCCAACATCAACAATAGACATGCGTCTTGAACTTACACAGTTACACTGTCTGACAGACTTATTGATTTGCACCATCTAAACTTTCATCTTGTAAATCTACAAAGTCATACAGACGACGCAAGCTCAAGATGAGCCCAAGAGAAGAGTTGATATTTTTAAATCAAATGACTAGTATTTTAAACTTTTAGGGTTAGATGCTTGTGTAGGAATTACACCCTACCCAACATGATAATTAATAATCTAATAAATGCAGTATGAGAAAGTGTTTGGTGATATGTACTATGAGGATTGTTTTCTACTTAGATAATTCATCCATCCTTAATCCATTTGAAATGTTTTGAACATGAATAACGATCGGGAGAGTGATGTATAATGTCACTAAGAAGTGATTGAAACCGAGAGGATAGCAATTATTATCTCCGGTAATTGTTTTCAAGCATTCTCCCTTTGGATTAAATGTGAAACAATTTAATGGAATACACTAAGGAAGACCACAGAATAAGTTGTTAGTATTTAATACACATATACATGGGCAAGGTACATTATCAAAGTCTTTTGTTGTTGTCGTAAACCAGAGGATTTTAACAAGTTGACAGCCCTGCTGGAAATCAAACCCAAAGGTAAATACAATAGCGATGCCAAATTTTGTCTATACTAAATTGTTATAATTGGTTACGTATGGAACAATTGTTAGGAGATCTGAAGGTATTGAGAAGCAAATACTGCAAGGAGCAGTCGAAGAAAATGGGGTAGAGGTCGTCCACCATTATCTTGGACTGATGATATTAAGAAAGTGTCTGGACAAGGAATGAAAGGTGCATCACAAATGGCAGGTAAAAGAGTTGCATGGCGTGCTCTCGTGAAGGCCACAGCAGCGCTTTACAGCGCCACCTGAAGTTGATGATGATGGAACAACAATTCTCAAACTACTTTTTGGACTTCCCCTTAATATCGGATCATTTCCTTTCGAAACACTTGTAAAGAATGTACATAATTATTGTTTTGAGAAAGAAAAAGTTCATATTTTCTAGATGAATGCTTCTTCGTACAATTAGCATGAACTTTCGATTTCTCCTTCTCTCTCTGTCTCTCTCCCCCTCCCCCTCTCTCTCCCTCTCTCCCCCTCCCCCTCTCTCTCTCTCTCTCTTTTCTCTGTCTAGCCAAACTTTACTTTTCTCATTTTACGTGTTTTTTTCCTTAGTTTTGTGAAAGATTATCTCTTCATGTATAAAGAGCAATAATTACCAAAGGCTAATTGTAATTATGTCAAAGCATACATTGTGTGAATATTGGATTAAATGTTTTTATGGATAATGTACATATTCAAATGTCAGTTTTCCTCAGATGAAATGTCATCCAGAAATAGTTTTTTAGAGCTTCTTTTTAGGGAATTATATAGAATGTTGATTGCACTGACTGAATAAATTTCAAAGTGTTGTTTAATGACAACATTTAGGATGAAAATTGCCATAGATCATTGTGTGTTTGTTTGAAAAGAAATGTAAAAAATATATATTGTATATACAGGAACTAGTCGAGACCAAGGATTTACATTTTCTATAATATTTATGTTTTGAGAGGAATATGTGGAAACTTGCGTCTCCCCCTTGTAGACAATATTTCCGATTTTAATGACAAAATCTGTGTGAATCTAACTGCATACAAATAGCAAATTAAATAACATTATTTAACATTGTTTGCTTTCATATTTTATTCCTAAAAATATGAAGCAGAAAATTAAATTTAATCTGTAAATTACTTGACCATTTTAAATCCATCACCTTGTTGCCGACAAAGGTTCATTTATCAGAAACTAATTACTTTTAACCTTCGACAACCTTTCAGACTGCCGAGTGAAATGTAATAGCAACGCAATGTTCATAGTACATGCAACCTTGAATAACTCCTAATTGAATAAATTTGATTTGAGATATGAAAGAGATGGTATCATACCTATTGAATCTGCACGTAGTTTTTATTTGTTTGTTTATAATATTGTTTAGTTTTTGTTTGCTTTGTTTGTCTTTCTTTGTTTCTTTGTTTCTAGTTTCATTTTCTTCATAACCATCAATATCAAGGCTACTTTTGCTGTTCAATTATTGGTAGAATTTGGTAAAGACAAGGAAAAATATGAAATTTACATATAACGAAAATTGCATATGTACATGAAATAAAATTGTTCATATTTCTAATGTATATACCGACTTTAGGTTTTGAAATTTCAGTCAGTTAAATGCAGTCCATTCCATTCTATAAGCAAGGTGTAGTCAACTTTGCTTATGGAACTTGGATTTGGAACCTTACAAATTGTTGTTGTTGTTAACCATAAGGCTTTTGCTAACTTTCATGTCATTATAACTCCCGTATTCCCTGTGCAACACTCCTCGCAAGTATCCAATAACTCATTCAAAAATATGCTTCATACACACGGAGATACATTTCCAGATATATTTAATATCTTCATGACAAATCATTAATACTGTGTCAGCAGACAGCAATTGTCCAACAAGTTTGGCGGTATTTTACATGACAACAGTAATGATACATTCCTTTTGAAAATAATTTTCAAATTAAAGAAACTTGTATATTGAAGGAGAAACAAAATCTCTTCCAAGTTCGTACATCATGGAAGAAAATAGAGGAAATCCTCCCATTTGGGTGGAGTTTCTGGCTTGGCAAATGGAAAGAAAGAGATTAACAACAGCTGAAAACAAGGTATTTTAGTCTCGGCAGATATCCCTTTTGTTCGTATGTGTCTGTTCCTACCCTCTACTGGAAGCATTCATGGACTACTGGACTTTTAAATGACTTTGTAGTTACTACCAGAATTCATGATGAATTAAGGTCACGCTGGATGAGGTTCAAGATGGATTATATACATACAATGACCATTGGAAAACATTGATGGAATGAGATGAGCTTAGGTTTCTATTCAGATTACAGTCCCTAGGAGCACACACAAAGTAGGTCTTAAGAAAATCATACATCAACTAAAATCAACTACTGTAACAGTAGGAATATTTGCAGTACATTAATTTGGGCGAATTTCCCACTAAGATCAGCAAGCGCGATTTTAGAACTCGCGAAAATATAAGCATGGCTTCTTATGCGTGTATTGAACGGGCTGACTTGCATGCAACGCAAATTTAAGAACCCGCAAATATATTTTGGGTAGCGCTTAGCGCGAAAAACTAATCACACAAAAATAACGGCATTTACAGTATACAGGAAATATTGTACAACCTTGGTCCCTTATTTCACTCAAAATCTGGATGTGATATCCCATTTCAACATACATGTACATATAGTACATAACTGTGAAATACAAAAGCTCCATCATTGGGTGGAATTTAACATATTTACAGCCTGAAATAGACAATTCAAAACTACATGAAATCTGTAAAGCCAAGGTGATTCCTACATTATAAATGAAGAGGATATCCAAACAAGAACAAAAATTAGTGGTCTTTTATCTTACAGTAATACACATGATTTACAACTTATATACAAGAGAATGTTAATGTCATGTTATAAACTAGATGGATCTATGACTGCGTGCAGTCAAAAATGATGCTTCCGCCATACAGTGATTTTACAAACCAAAACGGAAGCAATTTTTAAAATGCAAGTTTGATTGTAATCCATTAACAGGTTCTCAGAATATCGTAATTACAAGCTATTTTTCATATACATGTATATGTAATTTTTCTTATACATGTATATGTAATTGTATGACCCATTGATTTTTGACTTCATGACCCTAAAATCTAATCAGTTCATGGCTCTGCAAGATTAATTCATGTCCTGAGTTTGATAGTAATCCATCAATCAGTTCTTGAGATAAAGCGATCACAAGCTATTTTTGCATATATAATGAGCCCTTTGACCCCAAAAAAATCAGTTCATTGGCTCTGCAAGAGACATACATGACCCAAGTTTGGCGGTAATCCATCAATTGGTTCTTGAGATAACAAGATCGCGAGAACTGGACGGACAGAAGGACAACCAGAAAAAATAATATATAAATGTTGCATGATTGGCAGAGCTGAATCAAGCTACATGATTATAACAAAATGCATCCTGCTCACTGTCTATCTCTGACCAGTTTCGTCATGTCTAAAATAATTCTCATACTCATTCTAAAACCAATTCTTTTGCTCATTCCAAAACTAATTCTGAGGGGTTTCTTTCAATTCCTTTTACCAGATATACATAAATTAATATTTCAGATTGTATACCTACTACATTGTGTCCTTACAGGTTGTTTATCCTGACATTTAATTTCAAACGATAATGTGAAAAATTTCACATGTACAAACAATATGTCATAAATCTTTCAAGACTTTATGTTGGACAAAATCATAAATAAAAAATAATTATGTTGAATAATAATCGATAGGATTCATTTCAGTCGTTTCAACTCAAAGAGCAAGCACTTGCTCAGTACAGACTGAAGTGGACTATCATAAGGCACTCTTGGTCATTAAGTACATGGCTGATGCTGGCTTATTGTTGGGTCTGTTTTTACAGAACTTCATGACCAGGTAATGGGAACCTTACAGCAAAAGATTCGACCTCCTTTTCAAGGGCAGCAAGTTTGGATTGGAAGTCTGAATCACTTGTGACGTAAGCCTTGAAGTCACGAAGGGTTGTACTTGAACACTTCTTGTTTGCCTCTGCAGTCAACTTCAGACCTGTGGTAAGAGACAAGTTAACGAGATGAGACATGCAAGGAGTTTGAATAATGAATATGGCTGCCACCATTATTAAACAAAATATGGGATATGAAAGGCAAAACTGGCACTTAATAACTACAAATCTGAGATGAATAATACATTTGAGAATCAAATTATGGTAGGAACATCATTTTCTGCTGTTTTCTACTATTATGAATAAATTGAATAATCTGTAAACTTTCACATGCATTTTTCTTCATCATTGCCTACCAGTCCCATGTGCTCATAACTGTGCTGTAATTTTAGTTAACCCCCAAAACACTAGGTTATTAAACACACTAAGATGATACAATCAAGTCATTAATAAATCATCTAACATAGAAAACTCCTTGCAAAAAAAAAAAGGTGTTCAAACAAAAGTAATGAAAAACTACATGTACGTACATGTACTATTCACGTTTTTTTAAGGACATATCTACACATCAGTTTTGTTTTGAAAGAAAGTTGGCAAGGTAGCATTGATTGGTGTTGTGAAACATAAACCTTGATAAGCAGTCAGCTAAGGGTAACGTCAGGATAATGCACCAAGTCAGGTCAATTTGGCATAACAATCCGATATTGATGATGTCACAATGAAAACAAAAAGAGGATATATCACAAGCATGATATCTAATTAAGCTATACTATACAGATCCTAAACATTTATCCTTCTCCACCATGAAAGTCAGACGACTACTCACCTCTATCAATGTAGTCAACCACCATCATGAAATCAGTAACCTTGAAGTTTCTTGACGTGAGAGCTGGTGTACCGATCCTTAGACCGCCAGGCTTGAGTGCGCTCTTGTCCCCAGGACATGTGTTCTTATTGAGAACGATTCCTACACGCTCAAGCACGAACTCTCCACGAGCTCCATCCAGTCCCAGGGGTCGGAGGTCAAGGAGTAGAAGATGAGTGTCCGTTCCACCTGTAGAGCAGAAAATAAAACAGGATTATCAGATATGCTTTCATTTGTTAGATGTGCACAACTAGACAAATTATTGTCATGGGATGACGAAAGGGATAATGTTAGTTGAGTTTGCCAGTAAATATTTTGCTGGTGACAAGTTTGATCTCTTCAATAATTCTCACAACTGGAAAAACACATTGCTTCATTTGCAACCTTCCGGGGAAGAGGCAGAACAAGAGTGATGAAGACTAAAACTCACCTGAAGAAATAGTATAACCTCTCTTCATAAGTTCTTCAGCCATGGCTTGTGCGTTTGTGACGACATCCCGGGCATACAGCTTAAACTCCGGTTGTGAAGCCTGCAATAAGGCTACACCAACGCCTGAAAACCATTTTTGAGGGAAAGAAAAGAGAGGATCGTACAAGGCATGTTCATTTCATAATATGAAGCCAACAAACTTGTCCCTAAAATTACCATCATCAGTGTCTTTGTATATCTTAAACAATGTCAAATTTATTCAGAAAAAATTTCATTTATAATCATAATTTACTCTGTTCATCAAATTATAAATAACTACGGCCCCATCTTCAGTGGGTGAAGGCATAAAAAGAACATGGTTGAAAAGAAAATTGACAAACTTGAAAGGAATGAGGCAGACAAAAGAAATCACCATAACTAAAAAAGGCCCTACACTTTCCTGTATCATGTCTTGCTTTCCATTTTGCAACACACCTCAGTATCATTCAGTATTCTCAAATCTTTCCAAACCATAACAGACATGCAAATGGATATAAGTATGATCATTAATGACCATGATGGAAAAAAATTGTTTTGTTAATACCACAAGCATAGGATAAAGTTGAGATGGAACATACATTAAGGAGTTCAGGCATATACCAGTACAGCTCAGGAATAGCATTAATTGACCGTTTGACTGTTTCTACAAACCCAGAATGAATACTGGTACCATGATCAACACTTTATAAACAAATTACAAGATTTATACAGCAAGTTTTAAATACCATTGCATTCATTCTGTACGGATGAAAGGAATAAGGTACTCTGTAAACTGAGCTGGCTTTGTGCCATACCTTACCTCCTACAGCATGCATATGGGGTCCACCTTGAAGACCAGGGAAGACGGCTTCGTTGATCGGTTTCTCAAGGTCATACATCACCTCAGTGCCATTCTTGAGAACCTTACGGACACCTGGTGGTAAAAGAGATGATTAAAAAATGCATCAAGGAAAGCATTTATTTTCAGTAAAAAATATTACATTTTTACAAGAGCCTCTGCGCACAAGGCAATATCTATATTTAACATATGTATATGATCTTTGATAACAAACAAAAACAAAATTCAAAATTCCTATAAATTATCATATACCACATACAGAATCTGGAACAAAAGTTGTCAACATGAGATCACATGGCAGAGGATAGATTGCCTTTCTTGGCAGTGGTATATGCAGTTATAGTAAAAGCTTGTATATTAGAAATTGTATTTCTTTTCATTGAATTTTATAGAAACATGCTTCAAGAGCGAATGGCAGAGGTTTGTCAAACTGTACATAATTGAATGAAGTCAATGGAATTAAGTTGAATATTATCGAACATAACTGGATGGTGGGTTGACAATTTACCGGACACTACTAATATTAATCCCTCTGATTTGTTTGATACCTTATTTTGAGTTTTGTTACAGTTGTTACCTCTACGGAAGAAGATGATGCCTGATCGAGGTCCTCTAAGTGTCTTGTGTGTTGTGCTTGTAACGATGTCACAGTACTCAAAAGGATTAGCTACAACTCCAGCAGCAACTAATCCACTCACGTGAGCCATATCAGCTAGAAGATAAGCATCATTCTCTACTGCTATCTCCTTGAAACGTTTGTAGTCTAGATTCCTAGGATAACAGCTCATACCTGACAAGAAGGTGATGAAAACATCATCAATAATTGATTAATATAACTTGATTCCTATTAAAGAAAGCATGCACGCTGTAGGTATTGTGTTGTGGTCTTGTGGATTGGTCACCAGACTGTAGATCACAAGGTATGGGGTTAATTCCGTTACGACACTAACATCCTTTGGCAAGACATCAACCTACAATTCGCTACACAACACTTGACCTAGGTAACAGAGTGGTGAAGTGTGACATCAAAAAATTAATTTTTGGAATTTCTCAATTTTTTCTTCATCAAAAATAATGTCCAAACATCAAAAATCAATTGAAATTGTTAAGTATTGGCTGAGATATGACCATCTGAATAAATAGATATCCTTTAGAACTCAGTGTTATTTTGCTCTGGTTCATAACATTAGGGGTGTAAAGTTTATCCTATGTGAAAGATACTTTGGCAACAGGATTGGAACATGGATCAAATGAATGAATAATTATATATTCGGACTATTGATAGTGATGCCCACTGAAAAAAGAGGGTAACATCATCATAATAATAATAATAGTGGGTTCTTGTATAGCGCTAATGTCTGTCAGATTTGACACTCCTGGCGCTCATTGCACAAATCACTTAGAAAGACTGTTCTATGCTTCACTCACCTGCAATGATCATTTGTGGACGGAACAATCTGGCGTTTACAGCTAGAGCTTCATAATCAATGAGGCCTGTTTTAGGATTAACCCTGTAAGGCATTGACTCAAAGAACAAGGACGTTGCAGAGATCTTCTTCTTAGCCGTCATGAATCCATGTGTAAGGTGACCACCGTCCGGTAGATCCAGACCCATGATACGACCATGGGGGCCAATCACTCCAGTGTAGACGGCAAAGTTTGCTGGAGAGCCTGAATACGGCTGGACATTGACGCCCCATTCCTCCTCCTTCAAACCAAATGCTGCTAAGGCTCTCTTCTGAGTCAGAAGTTCCATTTCATCAAAGAACTGCGTACCGCCATAGTATCTGTTAACAAAGGCAAATGAAGGAAGGTATTTTGAGTTACTCAGTCATCTGGATTCCTTGGGATAGCATTTGGGAATGGATGAATAATTCAAATAATTCACAACTTATTTCTATTTTTTCATACATACAAGTTTGCTTCCAGGTAACCCTGTGAACTGATATTTGTAGACAGTATATTCTTATTGGGCTCTATCCATAACCATAACAGCATATACATCTACACTGTAGCAAGATTAATCCAGTATTCCTCAACCAGACTGGTAACATGTGGTACCGGTACATGTATGACAATTTGTGATGGCAACACAAGAGGTTTGAAAAGGACAAGAATGTAACTACCCAGTAGACAAATCATTAAAAAGGAAGAAAAAGTCACTTGTTAATTTTCAGAATTTTTGTCATAGCAATAGTAGGTTTTTTGTATTGTTTGTATTTCACAACGAAAATGTTCACTGCTATCATTCAGCCATTGAAAACTACTACCAAGATTAAATTATTCAAAAAGCAGAATTAAAGCTAATATTGAGCTCTGGTATGGGCATCATATGTCGAGAGAACATGGCTATAATTTATTTTGGATTGATTATCCTGCAGTAGATTGATTGTTTGAACCAGTAAAATAAAGACAACCTCACAAAAACTTGCTGGAAATCATCTTCACCACAACTCTCATTCGCAGATAGTGACCTGTGTTAAGCACATGGTGTTGGGCCTACTTAGCTTGATTCCCTTATCTTTATATGCTCATTACTCAGCTTCTATACATTTTCTACCAGAAACGTTTGGCACAGGTCATTTATTTGTAATCTGTAATATTCAGTGTAAGTTATGTTGAGTCTGTGACAATTTATTTTCTATCATTACTAGAAGCTTATTTATAAAAGGATAGTTGAGTTATGTTTTCAGACCGCAAATGCCTTCAAAGTGCATGGTTATTGCTCTTATTCTTATTTATGACATTTCTAGTGCCCTTTTAGAACCTAAAATTGCTATGAAAGTAATTATAGACCTCAAAATATGTGAAATTTTTCCAATACGATCATACTAATTCAGCTCCACAAAAATATGGTGACCATTTAAAATGAATTAATTGATTAACAAGAAATTAAATTTGTCATTGAAACAAATTAGGTGGTCTGTTATTTAATCTGAATAAATGGAAGACTATAAACATCTTTGAAGGAGAATAGAATCATATATAACAAGAAATTAAATTTGTCATTGAAACAAATTAGGTGGTCTGTTATTTAATCTGAATAAATGGAAGACTATAAACATCTTTGAAGGAGAATAGAATCATATATATATATATATATATATTATAGTATTAATGACTGCTTTGAGAGAAATAGTTGTTTTTATACGCTCAAGGGAAGGTTAGAATTGTGCTATTGCCCCGAGGCGTGCCGAGGGCAATAGCCCAATTGTAACCTTCCCGAGAGCGTATAAAAACAACTATTTCTCGAATATTAAAGCAGTCATTAATACTTATGCCAAAAAAAAATTAAAAAATTGTAACCTTCCCGAGAGCGTATAAAAACAACTATTTCTCGAATATTAAAGCAGTCATTAATACTTATGCCAAAAAAAAATTAAAAAATTTAAAAAAAATTAAAAAAAAACTTTTGTCGAAGATGGGATTCGATCTCTTGCGTACCAAAGCTGATGTAATGAAAACCTCTGCCTTAAATTGCTCGGCTATCGCGCTCTGTTACCATACATAGCAGTTTTTTCTTATATATACATTAAAATGGATTGAAAACGGCTTCGCGTGGTGGAAGCTTCGCGGCTGCTCCATTAAACAGGCCCTTCTTTTACTTTTGCAATGCATATTGGCACGAATTTAGATGAAGATCTATCGGCAGATGTTGTTTTTTTTGTTTTTGGCAGTTTATTTTCGTCTTAATGTCAACAATGCAAGATAAAATTGTCGGTAAGATCGATCGAGATTCAATTGTATTGAAATTACCGACCAATTCTTCGCACACGTACGGTATCCTCGATCGCTCAGACCATTTTTTAACATGTAAACCTATGGGGTAACCATGGAGACTGACCTATTTTCCCAATAACCATGGTTATTGGGATTTTGAACTGTTTTTTAACCATGGTTACCGGGAACAGTTAAAGATTATGAATGCAATTTCGACCAATCAGATTGCTGGATTACTTAAGTGAGGTATATAAATGATTCTATCTCCTTCAAAGATGTTTAGTCTTCCATTTATTCAGATTAAATAACAGACCACCTAATTTGTTTCAATGACAAATTTAATTTCTTGTTAATCAATTAATTCATTTTAAATGGTCACCATATTTTTGTGGAGCTATATATATATATATATATAGGGACGAATTGATCTTGAGATATACATTGATGATCATAATGGTGGTGATAGGGAGGATGACGATGATCACAAGGATGATAGTAGAGATGACATTGATGGCTGGAAAAATGAGGATAATGATAGTAATACTAATCATGCTGATTCAAAAGTCATATTGATATAGAATAGGTGATAATGATAATAATGATGAAAATGATGATTATGTGATTATAATAATAATGAATAGACCTGTTTTCTAATGTATTTCAATTCATGTTTCTCTCCATGGTAAACATGGTAGGGGTGAAATAAGATTACAAAGGGCAAAGGGAAGAGCTAGACAAAATTAAGGAACAATACAAGACATAAAAGAGGAACAATGAGAACCAGAGGCGGGAAAGGGAGACAGAGAGAGAGAAAGAGAAGGAGAGGGGTGAGACCAAGAGAGGGGAAGGGAGACAGAGCAAGAGAAAAAGGAGAGAGATGCAATGGAGAGAGATGCAATGGAGAACGATGCATTCAATATTTCCAGCATAAATAGAATTGAATAGAGAAAGAGAAAAGTATAGACAGGGAGATGTGATATACTGTTATAAACAATTCTATGTCCATGGGAGAGACTTAAACATTGCATATACCTGTGCTGAATAACTGGAATATATAAACGTCAGGAAAGGAGACTAGCATTATAGAAATGGGACAATTTGATATTGTACCAGACTTTGGAGATTAACCTACATAGGTTTATTACATGACAAGGAATCTTGATTTCCCATAGGGTTGTACACAAACTATTGACATTCCTCTCCAAAAGAAATAACACGCAAAAATAGGCATTTTATTAATTGTTTGTGATGGTATGATAGTCGAAGAAGGTGATAAAATCAAATGTAAAACGGAACCCCCCCCCCCCCCCCCCAAAAAAAAAAAAAAAAAAAAATTGACCCAACGGGAATCAAACCTTTGAACCTGGGCAATTGAATGGGAGACAAATGCTTTAATAACCAATGGACCAAAATACTCCACATAGACATTACACGTAAACGGAAAATGGGATTCTCAAATCCCATTTTGTAGTAAAAATATCACCATGATCCTAACATCTGATTAAAAATAAAATGTCACCTTCCGTGTAGAGAATTTTCTCAGCTACAACATATCCAAACCTGGAAAAAAAAATCATACAAAATAAATCGAGATATTGCTCGAACAAGACTGAAATGTAGAATGAAGGTATTCATACCTAATAATAGACGGACCATCTAATAATAAGAATACATGGGCCGGCTGGTTGTGCATATTATAACCAACGGCTGGTTCAAATTATCGAATATTTGTGGTGCACCATAAATCGTTATAATGGATATTTCAGCTGTCTCTGAACCGATTTTGATCAAACAAAGAAGATTTTTTGTTTTGTATAGCGCCCTCTACAACAAAATTCAACTATCCCTATTATTATTAAGGTGCACACCCTGAGTGTAGGAATCATTTCCAAAAGCTTAGAGCTTTCCCTCCATCCTAAGACCAAACACACAACTTTTAAAGTAAATTCTATACCTATTTCCAGGGTATCCCTCGCAGTATTTATTTTGCAGACAGGAGCCGAGAGCCTCTAGAACAGCCCTGCTTGGGAAGTTCTCTGATGCAATCAGTTCTAAGCCTTTCCTTTGACGATCCTTCTCCTTTAAGATGATAGCATACATCTCCGGGTCATTCTCTTCCAACGACTGGTGTCCAAACCAAGGACTCCCATCACTATTAGTGACTGTCTTGAGACTCCCATCGCCATTGCCATTGCTAACTTTCTTGAGACTCCCATCACCATTGCCATTGGTGACTGTCTTTGGACTCCCATCACCATTCATCGCTGTCTTGATGACCGTCTTGGTTCCGTTAACAGTAGCCATTTCGTCTGGAGAGTGGAGGAGAAATAAAACGAAAAGTCTTCTTACAAGTGGTTACTGAATCTGAGGAAATGAATACTCCATGTGAATGGAATATGTGGAAGCAAGTTTATCAAACTACACCAATTTAATGCACTTGGTCATTACAAAGTGGGAGGGACAGTCTGTCTTTACATTCCCTTGCAACCCTCTAGTCACTATGAATATGACGGACAAAGAAAGAGGACAAAATATACAGTTCCTCAGGTAGACAAAGGAACATCCCTTCACTGCTATTATGTAAAAATGAGTAAAACAGGTGAATATGCAGTAGCACAATAGAATAGTTCTCAAAGCCTACAACTAGTATTGGGATTACCTGTAACAAGAGAATGTATTGCATAAGCTTGAATGTGGGCAACATACATGTACTTGTTCGGTTACTGCTAAAAAATACTGATGCTATGTTGGGCAAGCAGTTGCACCTGTTAATCTGCACTGTATAAGCATCATGCATTTATTCATCATTTAGTTTATTCACTGTTTCGGGATAATATATGTGAAACAAGTTTTAGTGCAAATGTTATGCAATCCACCTCTATTGAGATAGGTCTCAAAAAGCCTTTAGAAAAGTTGTCAGAAAGGGTTAGGGTTCTAATGAGCTGTCTGTCTCCTAGGCCATTCAGGCCTACAGCAAATCCCTGCAGCTGTTTCCACTGTGTACTGCAGCATTGACTGTATACAATGAATTCTGGCTGCATACATGTACACTTATACTTTTGTGTGGTTAGAAAGAATGTAGGTCAAATTTGTTTATTTGTTCAAGTTCAATATTTTATCTCCACTGTACTAAAGCCTGTACACATTGAACTGACCTTTTTATTGTTTTGACAAAATAGATTCAACACAGCAGATATCATGTCAGGACCCTCATCATACAGGCAAAATAAATCACTCATGAAATTACATACATCATGTACATTTTACAATGTACAGGTTCAAGTCCCGCCGCGGCACTAATGTCCTTTGGCAAGACATTGATCTACATTTGCCACTCTCCACCCAGGTGTTAAATCGGTACCCGGTAGGGTGCGAAAGCTAATGTGGTTTATCAGCAAGCTTGCGCTTGTAAAAATTACGTCTGGCTGGAATGTGCATACATTGGGTGGTCTTCTCCTTAGCAACGCTAACATAGTGAGATGAAAAATAGGATATATCGCAATTATATGCTATCAATGCAGATGAATATTTTGATAGGTAGTGTGATGTCAGATGATGCAGTTTCATCATATTTTAATGATATTTCTCTCTTAGTTACCATTGCTATGGTAATGATACACCTGACAACCAGTATATTGTGTTCTCTGAAACCAAATTAGGCTTTCTCCCACTCATAAAATATCTGACAATCGCTGACAGGATAATATTGTTATGGTAGTTACAATAATCCAATAATGATATTCAAGATTCCTTTTTTGTTGTTGTAATAAATTAAATTAGAAATTAGATTATATTGGATGAGGGAGAAGGGGTGCAATCACTCACTTGTAAACTGTATACAAATTTTCTCAACACTATTTGGAGGGGCCCCTTCCATCTACCCCGTCATAGCAATACCACCTACCGTAATTAACGGTGTATTAACCGCACCCCTCTTTTTTTTTTGCTGACTTTTTTTTTGCTGACTTAAAAAACAGTAGAGGACCTAGGATAGAACCTTGTGGTACGCCGTGAATAGAAGAAAAATTGGAGGAATTATTATTATCAACTACATATTGAAATCTATCAGAAAGATTACTTTCAAACCAAGATGACAGACAAATTTGAGTGTTGTTCTAGTTTCCGAGTGGTGAGTCAACACACCGATTACTGAGCTGGGAGACATTGCCAGGCATAGCGCCAGGTGGAGGGTTTTTTCTTTTTTTCTTTTTTTTGTGTACCGTTGTATAAACCGCACCCCCGACTTTGAATTTTTTTTGGCAGCAAAAAGGGTGCGGTTAATACACCCTTAATTACAGTATACCTTGAAAAATCTCTCTACATCTCCTATCAGACACAACTTTGAAAAAGGTTTTTTGACAATACTTTTTTAATAGCCTTCTGCTCAGTCATCTGTGGCAGTACAACTATGAATATGGTATCATTAGACAGGGTATGAGTTACCCTTTACTATGATATATGATTTAAGGTCATATAGATTATAACTTTATAATTGGAAGTTACCAAAGTTGGGTAAATTTTTTGTAATACGCACTGTACTATCGACATCTTTTGGAAAAAAATGTTGTGGTTAAATTATCTTCAAAAGTCTTCAAAATATGAAATAAATATTTTAACAGCATTATTATTTTTTTTATACCGATACCAACAGCAGGTTGATTTGGAAGATTGTCCAAGTGCCTTTTGTCCACACAACCACGCAATTAACGATTAGGTCTAAATAGTTGCTGTGCGTTATTCGCTGTTTTCTGAGTATTTGCCTGCAATCTGTTTCCCCCGGTCAGATTGGCCATTTAATTATTTTAATCTCATTTATACAGAAAACAGATATTTTGTACATATACATACCTTCGTCTAGGTAACCTATGCTTTGACTTGCATTCACCTGTTGGCGTAACTGCCTATGAAATAATCAAAACTTGATTCTTGTCCCTCAACTAAACCACGGGGCAAGGGACTTGTCCGTATACTCTTTGTCTTAAGACAATTTCGGAAAATATCAAAACGTTTCAGATATAGTGACGGCGTACGTGCGTGACGTGTCTGGGTATGATGGGTGTCAGTCTGTGCCACTATTTACATATTTCAAATTATGACCCAAGTGTAACCAAACAACTTAAGATGTACGGTAGTTGTTTGCAAAGTAAAATAATTATTACCTAAATTCACTTGACAATATATATGGCCAAAGTTTTGTTTTTTATGGTTGAATATTGATATTGGCAATGTCACACGATAGATTTGATATCATGAAGTGTTACTGGTGTGCTGAGTTGGTAATATAATATCTTCATTATAAAGTGGAAAAAAGATCATCTAAAGCAGTAGATAAAGTTCTTTTTTTAATGCATTAAGACCTATAATCATGAAGCCTATGAAGGCAAACTTAGCCCGAACACGAGCAAAGATGCCAACAAATTCCATAGCTAGTAGGGTAAGAAATTACATGTGACTTGCTTGTGTCAGAACTATCTCTCGTCCACTAGCTACATGTATGTGAAAACCGAGCCAGTGCCATCATTATTTTGGGCACAAGTATGTCCTGAATTCAAACCATTTGATCAAATACATAATTTATTCAGTGCAAGAATCATATATAACATATTTTCTTACTCTGTTGTTTTCAATTACAAATGGACACTCTTTGTTAGCTTTACTTTAATTGTTATTATTATAGTTATTATAAAATTTAGTATGTTGTCCTTGTTGTTATTAATATTATAATCATTATCATCATTTATATTATTATACTCACTCCCTCATTCCCTCTCTCTCTCTCTCTCTCCTTATCCTCCAACCCATCTCTCTCTCTCTCTCTCTCTTGCTATAGTCTCTCTGTCTTTATTGTTTTATGCAGAGTTGCAATGATATCTATTGTCTGACATCAATATTTAGCCATGGGTGAAGGTAACCCCCCCCCCCCCCACCACTCCTCCTTGTAAAGTCCCAGATGAGATAGTCCTTCTCTTCGAACTATAACATACCAGACAGTTTATACCTATTAACTGAATCATCAGATCTTCTAAGTTCTACTTTCACTTGTGTCTCCAGCCCAGCCCAGCCCCCCCCCCCCCCCCCCCCCCCCCACCGTGAATGCATGTTACCAAAATGTCTGGTAAAGGGGTACTTTTCATGCACCAAGGTCCGGCTCGTAGTACACAAAAAATATTTTACACACCAGACTTAGGGGGTGTTTTCAAAAGGAGGGAACATGCATATATGCGTACCCTAAATAACACTGAGTGGAGGGGCCGGGGTCACCATGCAGGGTTGGCATATTTCCCGCTTCGGAGGCTTATTTCCCGGACGCCAGGAAATAAGCGGTATTTACCGGTATTTACCACTTTTTACCGGGAAATACCGGGAAATATATTTTCCACTCACTTGTCCAGATTTCATAACATGTGAAGTAGAATATCATTTTGCATTCTATTATCTCAATCACAAGAAAGAAGGAAAAACATGAAATTTGATGTACAAAAGGCATGGAGAGTTGTCCACAAATGATGTCATCAAATTGAATATCGCCCTCTAGTGACTAGTCATTTCAAAAAGCTTTAACTTCCTTATTCCTTGCCCGATTTTGTTCAAATTTTCACTGATTTTATTCAAATATCTTAAACTTTACAATAAAAGTAACTTGTATGAAGGTTTTGGTTCCCAGTTGCTAATTACCATATTCATGAATACCTATTAATTAGCATATGAACAAAATGCCATTTGTTTGGGTGTGTACCATTTTTTATGCAGTGAGGATTTTATAAATCTGTTTGTGTGTTCCTACTATGAGTATTGTGCTGCTAATTATTTCAGAACAATATTTTCAGTTCGAGGCTAAAAACAAGTAAAATTATTAATAAATAGAGAATTAAAATCATATTTGCCGTTTTTTACATATTTACCGGACGCGCATCTTATTTAGCGGACGGTATTTACCGGCGGTAATTACCGCCACCTGTATTTACCGCCCAACCCTGTCTCCATGTACACCTGTACATTCATCACTGACCGCACAAACTGGTGGCTGTTCAACTGTTCTGTGAGTATGGTTCAAATAGCTTTTGAAACATGGTAATAAAGCAACCCAACAGTTTTCGAGTATTAAACACTTTAAAGCTGGCTACCAATACTGCTCTGTGTAAGCTTTTTATAAATAGTGTTTTTCTCTCTTACTAACTTGTTGTTTTTTCGCCCGCTCTTGACATACTGACAGGATAATACTGTTAATTTAAACATCATTCCATGTGGCACTTTTAAGTGGCAAAATAAATGGGAGGGATAATAGCCTGTTCATAAATATAAATGTACTGCATTGTACATCAGAATGTGTGGTATTATGCACGTCATCACACTGAAGTTTTTCTTTGGAACAAGAACCAGAGAATCCAAACACAAAACTGTACTGTATCTTCAGTTTAGAATACAAACCTGTACACACAATGTATAAAGCCAGAATTCAACACTGCATGTATGACCAGAGAGACCAACATCCATTACATGTATACATGCACATGATGTAGGCTCAGAGCAATTTTGAATTTAAACTAAAATAACCAAAGAGCTCTCATAATAGACACACAAATGTTCTTTCTGGAGACTAATACATGGGATTTTTTTTCTTTATAATTTGAAAGCACCCTCATTTCCCCCAAGCAGAAAATGAATAATCCTGTTGAATTCCTAGCCATAATAGCACATATTACATACCTTTATAGTTAATAGCGTAGCTGTCTAGCTGATAAGCTTCAGTACCTGTTGATGTACTAAACAAAAGTCTCCCTCTGGTACTCACATCTGTTGCCTACATGTTCCTATCACCCGAAGCAGTATTAGCCCACGTACCAGTACACACAGGAGTGTAAACATGCTTCTGTACATGTACATGTAGACTATGTATGTTTAAGCGGCACAGCTAGGGTTGGGGTGGGGTGGGGGAACCTGGTTATGAATTCATGTGATTCAACGAGGTTGAGGTTTTGGAGAAATTGGACGTGGTCCTAATATCTTCTTTTCACGTTCATATCCCCCCCCCCCCCCTCCCTCTTTGCACCTTTCCTTTCTTCTCCTTTTTTTTCTCTCCTTCTTTACTTGATCTTTTTTTTTTTGGGGGGGGGGGATTCAATTGAGGGGGCAAATATCCTCATATCCATTATCTATGACATTTTGAGTGGCAGTTCAGGGGAAGGACAAATACTAATACCCCCACCCCCCCCCCCCCTTTCTCTCTCTCTCTCTCTTTCTCTCCCTCTGTCAGCACATGTATGAAACTCTATGGAACAAAACTGTTTTTATGGACCTCCCCCTTTTATCTGTCAACAAAACCTTTCACATTTTCACTGCATGGTGATTTTCTTATTACAATAACATATTAACAGGAAAGTAAAAGGCAAGATGCATGAATACAAGCTCTAAAATTATGATAAAACTCTGACATCATCCAAAAATATAGTTTAGAATTGAGTGATACCCCAATCGATGATCCCCACGCCTTTTTCAACAATCTCTACTTTTTACAGTTAACTAGATTAATAGACTAATCAATATATTCATTCACAAGGTCAGCTGCTAAATCATTCAACCTTCGTCATATGGGTGATTCCATAAATTAGGGACCCACTTTGTGACATTTTTGGTGTCCCATAAGGAACCCACACGTATTTGTGGCTCTGAGTAAAGACTTAAATAGTGGAGTGAGATTATTAAGTGATTCTAGATCTAGGTAGCTTGAGGATGCAATTTAGTATTACTATAAAGCGCAGGCCTGTGTGAAGTTATCTACCGTAATGCAGGGCTGCCAACACTCACACATTTCTCTCAATTCTCACGCTCTCACGCTAACAATGACATTCCTCACACACAAATCTTAAATAACTAAATAATAATAAAAACAGAAAAATTTGAATGAAAAAAATTAAAGCCACTAAAATCAAGAATTTATAAAGTTTTCCCGCCTTTTATCGAAAAAAAGCCTCGTGTGGAAGATCAGCGCCTAAATAGCTAGCTAGCCTGATGATGTACGTATCCTCGCACTGTACACATATTCATATGCAGCTAGCCGGGTCGGCCAGAGCCTGCCCCGGCCCAAAATATCGATCGGACGAACCAGCAGCGAGCTCGAGAACGTCATCAGTAACAATTGATCGAAAACAGCAAAGATTTCACGGTTCTGTGCTTTGTTTTTAAAGAGGGCCTAGGCCTAATATTACGTCATAGATACAGTAGTCTAGAATATAATGAGAGGGATTATACAAATATAAAGTGAGTTTTGTCGAGTGAAAAATGACTTGTGATTAGTGACTTGTGAGCGCGTGGGGCCCTCGATCAGCACCTCACTCTATGCCTAGCCCAGCATTATCTTTTGTATCATTCTTTAATCTTAGACCTAGATAGTAGATCTAGACCCCATGATTTTCTCTCTCCATATTGCCTATAGCTAGACTAGACCTCTATGTTAAAATACTCTAGGCCTATAGTCTAGATCTAGGTCCTAGATCTAGGCCTATAAAGTATGCACCAGATCACACAATTTCACCTTGAAAAATAAAAAAAGCTCTAGATCTACTAGTCTAGGCCTATAGTCTAGAGTCTGGGCATAGGCATAGCCAGGCCTAGTATACACTGAGGGAGGAAGGGATACGTTTCTGAACAAACGCCCGTATGAGTGGCTGCGCTGTCGCAAAAAAAGGAAGTCCCTAAAACTAGTTTTAGAATGATTCTAGAATCTACATCACTCAATCAACGTGATCAATGACGAACGTTCTTTGTCTCAGTGCTTAATCTAGACTAAGCCAGCGACCATTAAGTTACAATGACTTCATCGGAGAAATGCAGAGCAGACACTTTTCTGAAACCACCCTCTCATACTTCAACTTCAATGATGGCTTTGCATTCACAAAAGCTATACTTCTTCCCAACCACCTCATGCTCCCATCAAATTTATATGATAGACTGAACACTCTAATTCTACTCTTCCTCCATAAAATTCACATTGCCCGTACCTCTATCCTTTCCTCTCCCACTTGAATGTTTGTAACTACAATGTCAACAGCTGGAGACGAAAGACACCAACACTGACGCTTGCAGAATACAACTGCAGATCTCCGAGCGAGAACAACGGAGGAAGAAGAAGAAGAAGAAGAGAAGAATGTACAGATTTGAGTGTTGGCGCGCGCTTTTTGAACTAGGCCGCTCGGCCTCGGCTGCACTGTCACTCCGCGACGCGCGACGACGATGTCTTGTGTTGACTTGACACTTGTTTGATGAACACAGACAAAGTGCTTTCATTTCAGTTTCAAAAAAAAAAGAATTCAGGCTTCTATGCGAGACGTGATAAGAGTCTAATATGAATTCTCACCTCCGTTATTCAGCTTTGCCTTCTTTTCTACTGGCGACTCCATGGTATATTTATGATTTTCAGGCTAAATAGTAGTACGATCTGGAAACACTGCAGTGATGTAAACAACGTAGACACGTGACTGGCTCGGAGGCGAGGCGCGCGCTTTTTGAGTTAACGAGAATGATATCCTATCTTTGTATAAATAGGCCACTGATAATAGAGCTCAGTAATACAAAAAACTGTTACTTCACTCTCCACAAGCATGCGATGTAGTTGGAAGCTTGGGCTGGAGCGAGGTGTCTTTTTGGTGCCATCATTGCAAGGAAGATGGGGGGGGGGGGGGGGGGGGGGGGAGTTGAGAACACTTATTTGCTCCGTTAACCAGGGGGTGGGGATATTTCTGTTTTTATATTCTACGTTTTTTTCCATTCTACGCGATCCCTGATGATTTTGGCGATGCCATGATGAGTTATTGAATGTTTATGGATTTCGTTTTTGGAAAAATGTCACTCGATGTTTATTATGATATTACCAATCAATGATGCTTTAATATAAATTTAAGGAAAATGTTTCGTTGTGTATGATTCATATTTTGTTTAAGTCCCTACAACTCAGTGACTTGCATGAGGGGGCGTTCAACCGGTAAAACCCGTTCAACCACGTCCAATATTATTCTTCACTCAATTCATTTCCATTTTAAAACGATTTTTGTTTAACCTTTACAATGTTTTTCAACCTTTTGAATAAGTGTTCAGTTTGCTTTCCACTGCAGTGGCGGATCCAGGGATGGCCCGGGGTGCCCCCCCCCCCCCACACGTTAATTTTAATTTTACCTTTTTTGGAGATGCCCCCCCCCCCCTTGGCTCTCAAGGGGGGGTGCGAGTTTTCAAATTTTCGAGGGCGAAACAAAAAATTAGTGCTGACTAAAATCGGATATCTATAGTAAAAAAGTTATGAATTTTTGAAAAAGTCTGTAAAACTATAGAACAATGAAAATCACAAGGCAAATTGGAAATTCACTCATGAGTCTGTGACGTCATATCCTCACTATCCACTAATTGTTTTCTTTCCAATTCCCCCCTAAGAATCTTATTTCTTCACACCAGCATCCAAATTAGATTGATAGTAATATGTTTTTGTGTGGATGCACTAATATAGAGTAATTTTTGTCAGTTAAATCATTAAAAATGTGACTTTTGATAAACTATTCAGATAAAAATCAATAATTATGAATATACAATATGATACATATTCATATACATGAAACCTGGGCAAAGACATGGGGAAATCAAGGTTTGGGGGATTAAAAGAGAAATTAATGGGATTAAACTATATAAAGCAATTGATAAATAGTGAGGATATGACGTCACAAAATTATAACCAAATTGGCAATTTGTGTAGTGATTTCCATTGTTCTATAGTTTTACATACTTTTTTCAAAAAATCATAACTTTCTTATTAGTTATCCGATTTTGCTCAAACTATTTTTGATTGGTTTGTCTGATTTTTTTTTTTGCTTTTATTATAAGCTATTTTTTGGAGTGGACTTGTACTTTAAAGACGGTATACCGTATTAAGCGCTATATAAATCCAAATTATTATTATTATTATTATTATATGCAAAAAATGATAGCCAGGCACCATACTTTTCATATAACTTAAGGCCATGTATTACATGAAGGAAAACAAAAGACCTCTAAAGTCCACTTAAAATCATTTTATCGTATTTATAGAAAATAGGAGACACTCGGACTTAGTTACCTATAGGCCTAGCTTTGATTTGATATGATTTGAATTTATTTCCGTATAAATAAAGAAAGTAGGGCCTACAATAATCGAAACATTACACGATAATTTAGACATAATTAGAGATATTAAAACGGCCGTAAAACTCAGCATCCACTGTTCCACCAAGGGGTCCAGAATTCGATATAAAATGAAATAAATATGATATCGAAAGTCTTTACACAAATTGATAATTAAACAAAGAGACATAAATTATATTACAATTCAATTTAAAGTACATAAAGTAACACCCTATTAGTACCCCCTTAAATGTTTCAAAAGCTACACCCTAAAATTACACACTAAAAGCAATACACTACAGAATGCAAACATCGTTAAAGAAGGCAACAACAACAAAAAACAACGAAGTTGTGAAATAACATGTCCCAATAATTCGGGGGGAAATGCATATCAGGGGCGGATCTAGCTTTTTGCTCAGGGGGGTTGACCAATAATGACGATGCGGAGCATCGTCCACGAGCCGCGAAGCGGCGAGCCGATTTTTTTGGGGTGTTTATTTGAACCCCGTAAGTGATGTTTTCCTGGCATCTATTAACACAATGGAGACCATAAAAAGCAGTGCATGATAACGTCTTTTTAAATCAAGTAACAGTTAAATACACAGTTATATCCAGAGTTATCATGTGTTTGGTTAAGTTACCAGATGAGTTGAATATCTTCTCACAATATTTGCACTTGAAAGGGTTTCTCTCCAGCGTGCGTTCTTTTTTTCTTTTTTTTTTTTCTTTTTTTTTTTCTTTTTTTTTTCCTTTTTTTTTTTTTTTTTTTTTAATGTGGGGATTTTGGGGATGAGAATCGGCAACGCTGGCCTAGCTTGTCACTTGGGCGGTGGCCCGTGTCCTCAAAAAAGCTGATGGGGGGGGGGGGCAAGGGACTCTGTGACATTTGTTCGCCCAACCCCCCCCCCCCCCCCTCCCCCCAAAAAGAAATAATAATAATAATAATAATAATAATAATAATAATAATAATAATAATAATAATAAATGAAATAAATACATAGAAATAGAATAAAATAAAATTACAAGTTTAAAAAAAAAGATAAGATTTAAAAAAATTGTCCCCGGATTTTTTTTTTTTGGGGGGGGGGGTTGCAACCCCCCCAACCCCCCTTCTAGATCCGCTTCTGCATATTATTCAAGGTTTACTTCTATCAGAAATAGTTAAGCTCGTTAAATGATTGAAATGATAGTATGACATTGACTTTATATAAAACTTGGAATTAATTGATTAAATTACGAAATAATAATGATAATAATAATAGGCATTTATATAGCGCCGTCTATCTAGACAATATTCCGAGGCGCACAAGAAAAATCATAAAAAGAAAGAGAGATTTTGGATGAATGTCATAGTGCCAAGTACAGCTTGTATTGTTAAAAAAAGATAAGATTTCCACTTGGATTTAAAGGTCTCTAAGGAAGTTGATTCTCAAATTAAATGGTAAATTATTGTTCCATGCAAAGAGAAGGTGCTGCAGCTGAAAAAGCCCTTTCACCACAGGCAACCCGTGTATTGGGTATGTGTCTCAGTGGCTGGTGTGTAGGGCATAACTGTCTATGGTCACATTTCCAAGAAGAATATTAAAGCTAGAATCATCTATTTATTCTGACAGGGTTCCTATACTAATTTAAATACAATCAAGCACGAAATATTTACCACTTCTAGTTTTAAAAAAAAAATCAAATTCAGACAATGTTGAATTGTCAAACGGTTTGAGACATAAACATAATATTAATTATATTATTATGTCATTATGTACTTTAAATTAAATTGAATTAATTCAAACGGTTTTAATTTAAGTCGCGTTATGATATATTATACATGCGTTCATAACCTAGCACTTTCTAACCTTTAGGCAGACTTGATCAATCCTAATGATGTACATAATAATAATCATACAAGGCAAATAGACAGTGGATGTTTACGTGTGCCCAGATTTCACACTGATACTCTTGTTATAAGTTTAGCCCAATTGTTTATTTGACTTGAATAAGCTAGATAATTCGCTGAGAACGGCTCCCTCTGTCAAATCATTTAAGACTGAAATTGTATAAACAAAGTTATAATTTGTGAAAAGCTCAGCCGAACATAATACACGTGCATGTTCATTTGGTCACATAATTGCGACTAAATCAATATGTTCCTATATTGGCATTACAGTTGAAATTAATGATACAGTGTTTATGATTTTTTTGCAAACGAGTATTCGTTTGTGCCACGTCTATCATTGCTGTGATATATTTTTCTAAATGTACTTTGGAATTTGTTTAAACATGTTATGTAGACGTTATGCTTTTTGATGTAAATATGTTCATGTGCCCTTGCACGGAAGACCACTACTTATTGGTGAATGGGCTACCCTGACAAAAGATGAGAAATAAATAAATAGATAAAATTGGGCCACACTTAAATGGGAGACTGCATCTTATTTTTGTTTGGTTTGGTTTGTTTTATTTTGTTAATTCATTATTATAATTTTTGTATTGGTCTTGTTTTATTTATAGAGAATCTCTTTTTGGTTAAAACCCAAGTCTTTAATGTTCCATTGAGAGCGTACCCGTTATGTTAAGAACAGATTATGCATGATATAAACTCAAAGTTACACATCAGGAAAAAAAAAGGAGAAAAAAGTTACACATCAGTGGCGGATACAAGGGAATGGGAAGGGAAAAGAGAGAGCAACGAGAAAAAAAAGGAGAAAAGAAAAAGGGAAAGAAGGTAAAAGAGAAGAAAAGAGGAAAAGGACGGAGAGATAGAGAAAGAGAAAAAACGGGAAAACATAAATAATCGCTTGAATTAATAGGGGCTGTGATAAACTATTTAAACTATTATTTAAAATATGTAAGAAACAATTTTCCTGTTATTTGGAACTCTATTCCTCCTGAAATATTCCCATACAAGTCTTAAACATTATTAAAAAGAAAATTGGAGCAGCATCTTATATCTAAATATCATTAACTCTTGTACCCATATTCATATTATACAGCATTACCTAACTGTTTTCAAACCTATGATTATTTCCATTTGTATTACCTGCCATGAACGATGTCCCTGTCATGTTTTGTCATGTATGTTTCTTTTTTAGTTTTGTTTGTTTAATTATTAACTACTGTTCGAGGAACATTGCCTCCCCAGGGAGTGGAGATTGTGCACACAGTGTATGCGGGCAAGCACTGAATCCAATGACCGGGGTCATAGTATATGTGTAAAGCGCTTAGAGACATTGTATTAAGCCCTAAATATTATTACATGTATTATTATTATTATTTTCTTATATATTGCAAATGCTTATCATTGTATATATCTTTGTATTGTTTTTGTTGAAAATGGAAATGAATTAAATGA